AGCATAAATAAAAAGGAAAACAAGACAAGAAAGACCAAAAAGCAAGAGTTAGTTAATTTTCAGGGAGAAACCATCGAGCATCCATTAGATTCATGACATCTAGATCAGAAAAGCATTTGAAGGATTTGGTTACAAGATTGTACACACAGATGTCAAGCTCACGACCTTTCCATTGGCTTGGACGGTAGTTGTAAGCCCATCACAGTCAGAAGCCCAAACCCAAGTTATAATGAAGACAAAACATGATCAACGGTCTTCTCACTCTCTGAATGAAACTGGACAAAAGAGATATACGATGCTCCTCCAAAATAGATTCGAGCCGTTGCTGGTCACACCAGTAAGGTGACCTAGCTTTACAGCTGTAGGTCCATTCTGTTATGATGTATCTAGACAGTCTCAGTAACACTATAAGTGTGTGATGTAATCTCGACCATTTTGATTATCAGAAAAAGTATTATTCAGTCATAAGAAAGTATCTTGTTCTTCATTTGTCTTTATGGTATCAGAGCCATAGATACCTTAACAGGTCAATCATGGCGGATCCAAATCCTTATCATTTTCCTAATAAAATACACATTCTAAACTCAGTTTTTTTTTTTTTTTTTTTGTTTGTTCAAAAAAAAAAACTCAGTTACTCTCAAACTCAATGATTCAAACTACCTTCTGTGGAAAACACAGTTTGAATCTCTTCTTTCTAGTCAGAAACTCATAGGTTTCGTTAACGGAGCTATTGTCGCACCAGCAGCTACTCGAGTCGTGGTTGCAGACGGTGCTCAGGTTGAACTTCCCAACCCGCAGTTTGAGTCATGGTTTTGCACGGAGCAACTTGTCAGATCTTGGCTGTTTGGTACTCTGTCTAAAGAAGTCTTAGGGCATGTTCATAGCCTTACTACAGCTCGAGAGGTGTGGCTGTCGCTTGCAGAAAACTTCAAAAAAAGTTCCCTTGCTCGTGAGTTCACCCTTCGTCGCAGTCTCCAGCTTCTCTCCAGCAAAGGGAAAACTCTTGCTACCTACAGTCGTGAGTTTAAAGCACTCTGTGATTCCTTAAGCTCTATAGGGAAACCAATCGAAGAATCCATGAAGATATTTGGTTATCTAAACGGTTTAGGTCGTGAGTATGACCCTATCACCACGGTTTTACAGAGCTCCTTGACAAAGTTTCCTCCACCCACATTCAATGATGTTGTCTCCGAGGTTCAAGGGTTTCAAGCTAAACTTGAGTCGTATGAGGATGCTGCTATGGTGACTCCTCATGCTGCCTTTGCGGCTCAGGCTTCTCAAAACAATCAAGGCTTCAGACCTAACACTCCGACATACAATCCCAACTACAGAGGCCGTGTGAGATCATCGTTCAGAGGCAGAGGTGGTTACAATACCAGGGGGAGAGGCTTTGCTCAACATCAGACTTCAGCGTCCAACACTGGTGAACGTCCCACATGTCAAATCTGTGGACGGATTGGACACACAGCACTGAAGTGTTATAACCGTTTTGACAACAACTACCAAAGTGCTGAAGTTTATGCCTCTCAGCGCATGACTGAAGAGTCTGATAAGGACTGGTATCCAGACTCTAGCGCCTCTGCTCATGTCACTCCATCTGCGCAAAATCTTCACACTTCTCATCCGTACAATGGTGGTGACACAGTTAAGGTGGGAGATGGAGCCTACCTCCCTATTACACATACTGGTACCACTGCTATCACTTCTGCGACAGGTAATATCCAACTTAATGAAGTACTTGTCTGTCCTGATATTAAGAAATCTCTAATGTCTGTATCTAAGCTGTGTGACGATTTCCCATGTGGAGTGTACTTTGATGTTAAAAACGTGTATGTGATTGACATAATGAATCAGAAGGTGATAGCAAAAGGGCCTCGAAGTAAGGGGCTTTATAAGTTGAAGAGTACTGAAGTTGAAGTGTTCTATTCTAATCGCCAAGTTTCAGCGTCAGAAGAAGTTTGGCATCACCGTCTTGGACACTCAAGCTCTGGTATCCTTCAACAACTTCACAGTAGCAAGGTCATCAACATCAATAAGAACAGAATGCTTCCTGTTTGTCAGCCTTGCCAGATGGGAAAGAGTAGCAAGTTACAGTTTTTTTCTTCAAATAACTTAGTTTCAGAATCCCTTGGTTGTATTCACTGTGATTTGTGGGGACCTTCTCCGGTTGTTTCTAATCAAGGGTTCAAGTTTTATGTGGTGTTTTTTGATGAGTATTCTCGGTATTGCTGGTTCTATCCAATGAAAAATAAAGCTGAGTTTACTTCTATATTCTCCGGTTTCCAAAAGTTAGTTGAGAATCAATATAACACAAAGATAAAGATGTTGCAGACTGATGGTGGTGGTGAGTTCCTTAATAACACTCTTCAAAGTCATCTTGTCAGCTGTGGCATTCAACATAGGATATCTTGTCCCTACACCCCCCAGCAGAATGGGATGGCTGAAAGAAAACACAGGCATCTCATTGAACTGGGTCTATCCATGATGTTTCAATGCCATCTACCTCTGCATCACTCGGTTGAAGCGTTTTACACCGCATCCTATACCAGTAACTTGCTACCTGCTGCGTCCAGAGACAACAAAAGCCCTTCAGAGATGTTGCTGGGAACAATACCAGACTACTCTCATCTTTGGGTGTTTGGGTCTGGCTGCTATCCTTGTCTCATGCCAATTACAGAACACAAGTTTGAACCGCGGTCCCTTCTCTGTGTTTTCCTTGGTTATAGCTCTCAATATAAAGGGTATCGCTGCCTTTACCCACCCACCCACTGGTAGAGTTTACATCTCTAGACATGTCATATTTGATGAATCATGTTTCCCCTTCAAAGACCAGTACAAGAATTTTGTACCAAGATATGAGTCTAGACTACTTCGAGCATGGCAAGCTGCAACAGCTCAACCGGTGGAAACAACATCAGAACATATCTCTCGAGATATCCCAGGTCCTGTAACCCATGTTCAACCCCCTCCCCCAATCCCAACGCCCCCTCCAACACCTAACCTTGCTGAGCACGTCAATGATTTTCCTGCAGCTCAAGTACCAGAAGCAGTTCCTGTGTTAGCTAATTCCCATCCCATGACCACCAGAGCCAAAGCTGGTATTCATAAGCCCAACACTCGCTATGTTTTAGCAACGTCAAGATATGACACTAAGGAACCACGAAACATCAGAGAGGCTATGACACACCCTGAATGGAATAATGCTATCACTGAAGAAATGACCAATATCCATATGCTTCATACGTGGTCTCTGGTCCCTCCTACAGATGACATGAACATCATCAGCATTCGATGGGTGTACACCACGAAGATGAATCCAGATGGTACTGTAAGGAAACGCATAGCTCGACTGGTTGGCAAAGGATTTGAACAGGAAGAGGGTTTAGATTATCTTGAGACCTTCAGTCCTGTTGTGAGAACAACAACTATCCGTCTGTTACTTAATATTGCACCAGCCAAAGGTTGGTCTATCAAACAGCTCGATGTGTCTAGTGCCTTCCTCCATGGTGAGCTCGCTGAACCTGTTTATATGTATCAGCCTGATGGATTCGTTGATGAAACTAGACCGGATCATGTGTGTCGTTTAACCAAGGCTCTATATGGACTTAAGCAAGCCCCAAGAGCTTGGTTTAACACCTTCAGTAACTTCCTCATAGAGTTTGGGTTCACATGTAGTAGGTCTGATCCCTCTTTATTCACCTACCACAGAGATGGCAAGAGTCTTGTTCTTCTTTTATATGTTGATGATATTCTATTGTCTGGAAGTGATGAAGCTAGAGTACATGATCTTCTTGGAGCTCTGAACAGAAGGTTTGCAATGAAGGATTTAGGATCTCCAAGTCATTTCCTAGGCATTCAAATGCAAGCCTACAAAGATGGTATGTTCCTGCATCAACAAGAGTACGCTCATGACATTCTGCACCAGGCCATGATGACAGATTGTAACCCAATGCCAACACCTCTGCCTATCAGGATTGAAGATGACCTTTCCCAACTGTTTCCTGAACCTACCTACTATCGAAGCCTTGCGGGAAAGCTTCAATATCTGACAATTACTCGCCCTGACATCCAATATGCAGTGAATCTAGTGTGCTAGAGAATGCACTCTCCTACTCAGTCAGACTTTGGTCTTCTCAAGCGTATACTTTGGTATATTAAAGGCACATTAGACTTAGGTACGCACATCAAGAAGGATACAAGTCTGGTGTTATCTGCATTCTGTGATAGTGATTGGGCAGGGTGTAAAGACACTAGAAGATCAACAACAGGATTCTGCACCTTCTTAGGTCCTAATATTATCTCCTGGTCGGCCAAAAGACAGCCCACGGTGTCCAGATCCTCAACTGAAGCTGAATACCGAGCTCTCTGTTCAACTGCCCAAGAGATAACCTGGCTTTCCTTCCTGTTGCGTGACCTCAACCTTCCTCAGTCTCAGACTACTAAGGTGTTCTGTGATAACCTTTCTGCTGTTTACTTGAGTGCCAATCCAGCTCTGCATTCTCGGTCCAAACACTTTGACACAGACTATCACTATATCCGGGAACAAGTAGCTCTGGGACTCATTGAGACTAACCACATCCCAGCAACACAGCAGTTAGCTGACATCTTTACCAAGTCTTTACCTCGACGTTCTTTCTCTGAGCTTCGTAGCAAGCTTGGCGTTGGTGTTGCCCCCACCTCAAGCTTGAGGGGGAATGTAAGCCCATCACAGTCAGAAGCCCAAGCCCAAGTTATAATGAAGACAAAACATGATCAACGGTCTTCTCACTCTCTGAATGAAGCTGGACAAAAGAGATGTACGATGCTCCTCCAAAATAGATTCGAGCCGTTGCTGGTCACACCAGTAAGGTGACCTAGCTTTACAGCTGTAGGTCCATTCTGTTATGATGTATCTAGACAGTCTCAGTAACACTATAAGTGTGTGATGTAATCTCGACCATTTTGATTATCAGAAAAAGTATTATTCAGTCATAAGAAAGTATCTTGTTCTTCATTTGTCTTTAGTAGTGACGGGTGAAATAGATGGAGTCTGGTTCAAGGGTATCGTCAGCAGCAGACACAGTGAAACCCAAGTCAAGAAGCAGGCTCTCACCACCAAGAGAATCTACCTCAACAAGCGCATGGCAGGACGAATCTGGGTCTTCTATATCAGGATCCTTCTTGTAGAGTCGGAACCAGCTCCTATTCCATGGATCACTCTCAACCAGCAAAACTTGTCCTGACGTTGTAACCGCAATGCTAGAATCGCATGATTCATAACGTGAAAGCATTGGGAATGGCTTGGTAACCTCCTTGAAGGAAGAACCAGACAGATCTAGGACTCGAACAAAACGACGGCTCGTTGTGATATAAAGAGTGTAACCACGTAGCACCATCTCAGATAAGCCCTTGAACCAATGGTTGTCTGGGTAAAACAGAGGGATGTCAGTGTAATAAGTATCCCTTTCTTGCAGAAGCTTATATAATCGTGGTTATATTCGTGGTCGAAGAACCACACCACAACGTAATCTTTGCCTCCCTCATCTACCCACAAAAGACCCCTCACGACATCAGAGCTCACAGCATCAGAATCCTGTTCAACAAAAATATTGGTCCTATCTAGCCTTAAAAATCCTTTATCACCCACGCGTTTGATAGAACAAGTAGTTGACCTAAGCGATTCTAGAGACGGAAGATGGATCGTTTTCTTGCTAAACACGTCTATGATGTATAAGTTGGATTCAGAATCTAACACCAAGAACCAGTTACCCGAGTTTGCCAGGAATCGACACCCTGGGAAGTCTCCATGCAGGTTCCTTTCTATCTTGCCTTCTTTTGGATTGTACAGAATACAACCACCACCGTGTTTTGGAAATAGCATCACCCCTGGAGATCCGCTTAACGTCGGCGAAGATCCGGCGAGCTCCATCGCCGTTTGAGGGAAGGTATAGAGGCAGTTATTGTGTGTATATATAGCGCCTCATTCCCGTGATAATTTTGTGTGCTAACGTAACAAACAAAAAAACAAACAAAAAAACAATTTGGGTTTATTGAAATGCGGAAAAATATTATTTAATTCATTAATCTTCAAATTTGGTTGAGATAAAATATGAATTTTTACCAAAAAATATTCAATGTTTATTGATAAATCATTTTAATCATAAACTTTTGTTGATCATATTATTTTAAGCATATCATTAGTCAATAATTATAGTTGACTAACGGTATGTCTAAAATAATTTTTAAAATTGATATTTTTTTTGTAAAAATATAAATCAAGATTTTTTCCGAGAAATACTAAATGTTAACTTTTAGAATAAATTAGTTAATATATTGACTAACGATATGACTAAAATAAAATAAATTGTAGTAAAAATACAATATAATATTGAATACAATAAGATATTAAAAAAAATATTTTAAAGTAAAGGAGGAGTTTATTTATGCTTCTGGCAGTTACTGGCATTTTCAATGGGAGTTTATTTCAACGTTGGTGGTACATAATGACTTAATGGTTTGGGTCTCATTGCACCTTATAACGATGGGTGCTACAGATTACTTAAGATTAAATATAAATTATTAGTATTTTGAGTTGGAATTGTAGAGGTGCTGGTAATTCGGATACAGTTCAACGTATTCGGGATTTTCGACGTCAATATTTTCCAGATTTTTTATTTCTCATGGAGACAAAACAGAAATTTGCTTACATGGATACCTTAAAATCAAGTCTGGGATATGATTATTTACACACGGTCGAACCCGTTGGTCGTAGTGGTGGTCTATCTTTAATGTGGAAAGGGTGTTACGCAGTAGAAATCTTGTATAGTGATAATAGAATTATTGATCTAAAAATCACAATGGGGTCCCTTGTATTTTTCCTCTCATGTGTATATGGTGATCGAGTAAGAGGACGAAGACGATTTGTCTGGGATAAACTAACGGATATTGGCATTTACAGGGATGAAGCATGGGTCTTGGTGGGTGATATTAACGAGTTAATGAATAATGATGAAAAATTGGGAGGGCCTACTAGAGATAAAACCACGTTTTTTTATTTTCGGAATATGGTTGAAGCTTGTAAAATTAGGGAAATGAGAACCACAGGAAATACCCTTTCGTGGGCTGGTAAGTGAGACCATAACTGGGTACAATGTCGACTAGATAGGACCTTCGGTAATGCGGAATGGTTTCGTCTATTTCCCCAATCATCTACCGATTATATGAGTATGTGGCCTTCAGATCATCGGCCTTTACGAATAGAGTTTGCCTTTGAGCCGGAGATTGTGCAAAGGGGACGGTTCTATTTTGATAAACGTATGTTCGGAAAAAGAGGGGTTAATGAAGCAATTATCCGTGGATGGGATGCTGAGAATATAAACTCAAATTTATCTGTTCTTGATCGTATTGCTCGGTGTAGATCAGAATTGTCTAAACTTAAAAAGGCTAATGACTGGAATTCAAAAACTAGGATTGATCGGTTGCAGAGTGATCTAGATAAAGAAAGTTCCAAACAATTCCCTATTTATGGTCTGATGAGAAGGTTAAGACAAGATTTGGCTGCGGCATATAGGGAAGAGGAGATTTTTTGGAGACAAAAAAGTAAAGAGGAATGGTTAAGGGAAGGAGATAGAAATACCACATATTTTCATAATGTGGTAAAGGGGAAAAGAATTAGAAATAAAATTTTGATGCTAAAAGATTTATTTGGTAATGAACATTATTCTGAAGGTTCGAAGGGTCACATTGTAACTGAATATTTCAGGGATTTGTTTACAAGTTCAAACCCCACTGATCTGGAAACACTGTTTGAAGGCTTTGAAAGCAAGGTTACCTCACAGATGAACGCACTATTAATCTGGGAAGTTTCCGCTGAGGAAATCAAGGACGCAGCCTTTGGTATCAAAGGTAGTAGTGCTCCTGGAGAAGATGGACTTACGAGTTTTTTCTAGCAGAAATACTGGCACGTTGTGGGACAGAAAATTATTCAGGATGTTCAAAATTTTTTTACAACAGCCGTCATTCCTGCTGGGTGGAATCATACACAATTATCTCTGTTACCTAAAATTTCGAATCCTACAGAAATGAAGGATATGCGTCCAATAAGTCTTTGCAGTGTTCAATATAAAATTTTTTCTCGTATTATATGTGGTGTTGCCACATATAATATCTGAAATTCAAGGGGCTTTTGTGGGAGGCAGGTTAATAACAGACAATGTCATTATAGCACATGAACTGGTACATGCATTCCGTACAAATGACAAAATTGGTAAAGAGTGTATGGCTATTAAGACAGACATATCAAAGGCGTACGATCGGGTAGAATGGAACTTCCTAGAAGTTTTATTAGAAAAAGTGGGATTCCATCGGAAATGGGTCGTTTGGATAATGACATGCATTACTACTGTCTCTTTCTCGGTATTACTTAATGGACGCTCCCACGGGTTTATTAAACCAGAAAGAGGAATACGGCAGGGTGATCCATTATCCCCTTTTCTATTCATTTGATGTGCCGAAGCTTTAGTTCATGTTTTAAATAGATCTGAAGCACAAGGGAAATTACAGGGAATAAAATTAGCAATGGGTAGCCCATCGGTCCATCATTTGTTATTTGCAGATGATAGTTTATTGTTGTGTGAAGCCTCTGTGAGTGATAGTGAAGAAATTTTAAGAGGTTTAAAATGTTATGGGGAGGCGTCAGGGCAAAGGATTTATCCATTGAAATCTTCAATCATTTTTGGGAAAAAAATAGACAATATTAAAAAATATATGATTAAAGAGGTGTTGGGTATAGAAAAAGAAGGTGGTGAAGGTTCTTATCTTGGTCTTCCTGAATGTTTTCAAGGTTCAAAAAAAGCGCTTTTAAACTTTATCAAGGATAAATTAGAAGGAAGGTTACAGGGCTGGTACTCTAAAACTTTGTCTTTGGGTGCAAAGGAGATACTAATAAAATCAGTGGCATTAGCATTACCGATATATGCTATGTCTGTCTTTAAGTTACCAAAAGGTCTATGTGAACGAATTACGAGTGTGATTATAGAGTTTTGGTGGAGTAGTGGGGACAAAAAAAAAAGAAAAATCCCATGGGTTTCTTGGGAAAAGTTATGTAAACCAAAAGAACAGGGGGGTCTTGGGTTTCAGGACATTGGTCGGTTTAATCAGGCTTTACTCAGGAAACAAGCTTGGCGAATTTGGAATAATCCCCAGTCCTTGGTTGCTCGAATCCTTAAAGGTAAATATTTTTAAAATGGAAATTTTCTAGACTGTGGAATGGGGACTCGTCCGTCTTATGCATGGAGGAGCATCATGCACGGTAGAGAATTACTCAAAAAGGGTTTATATCTACATATTGGTAATGGGATTGATACTAATGTTTGGGCTGAGAATTGGATTATTGACACTATCCCACGACCACCGATGTACCGCGAAAATAGCTCTATCAATTTAGCGTTTAAGGTTTCTGATTTGCTCAGGCCGGGGTCTAATCAATGGGATACTAATCTGCTACAGCAAACTTTTACGCCGGAGGATGTTCAAAGGATCCTAATTTTAAAACCATCACTAGGATGTGAAGATTCTATCAGATGGGGATTCACACCAAATGGATCATATTCGACTAGAAGTGGTTATAAGTTATTAGAGGTTTTGATGGATTATGATCACCCTCAAGGTCAGGTCCTCACCCCTATTGAAAGAAAATTATGGCGAGACCTATGGATAACAAAAGCCCCACCAAAAATAAAACATTTTATGTGGCGGGCGTTATCTGGTGCGTTACCTGTTAAGCAACGTTTGACTACTCGGGGAATTCTGATAGATCCAACCTGCCCGGTTTGTGGTCATGTGGATGAGACTATTTGTCATGTTCTTTTCACATGTGTTAAGGCACGTGCCATATGGAATCAAGCTAATGTCCAAGTACCTTTTGGCGGTTTCTCTAGAAATTCCACTTTTTTAAATTTTGTCCATTTAATTAAGATTGCTAGGAGCTCATCTTCAGAGAATCATACAAAAAAAGTTTTCCCATGGTTGCTATGGGAAATATGGAAAGCTAGGAACTCTTTTGTTTTTAAAAATGTGATTCTAGAGTCTTCCTTTATTGCTAAGAGAGCATATGAAGAAGAGTCCACATGGTATAATACATTCACTGGTTCAAGGGATGAAGTGGATGGTATTGATATTGAAAAGGTTCGATGGAACAAACCCCTTATTGGATCCCTAAAATGTAATGTGGGATCCTCATGGATAAATTCGAATCAACCGAGTGGTGCAGCGTGGATACTCCGGGATGAAAAAGGACGTACAATCATGCATAGCCGCCGGGCATATTCCTATATGCGCTCAAAGTTCGAGGCTGACTTGTGGGCTCTCTTCTGGGCAGTGGAATGCTTGCACAACTTATGTTTCTCAAATCTTATTCTGGAGACTTCCTCGGAGGGCTTACATGACGCGTTAACGAATCCCAATGATCACCTCAGCCTCAGCCACATCCGTCACATCATCCTTTGCCTTCTAACAAAAATAGACTTATGGAGCTTGGATTATGTTCTCCCAGAAAGAAATGAAGCTACAGCGGCCATTGCTCTCAGTGTCACGCGGGATAGGCGCCACAAGTCGTATATTGTTCGGAATGTTCCATTTTGGCTATATCACCTTCTCGATTTGGAGTCTCAGTAAGAAAGGGATTGGGTAACCCCGTTTCTTTCTCATATGATGGTGTCTACTGACATGTACCTCTATCACTGTTATAGAAAAAAAAAAGTGAAGGAGGATACTCTAGGTGAAAGAGAGATTCCACTACACATAGTAATCTACTAACCTTCAAAGCCTCTGACTAAGACCGCGTCTCCTTTCTCGTAAAAGGAAACCTAGCGACTGTATCAGAGAAGCGCATTACCACATTGTCCTGCTGATTTCATTCCTCTGCGCCGCGTGCTTGATTCCTCCTCGCAACCAACCTTCTCCCATCTCTTTACTTTCGCATCGTTGGTGAGTGTTCGTTCGTTGATTCATTTTCGAATTCAATTTATAACCTCAAAACGAAATCATACTAGGAGCAAATTGGTTAAATAATTTAACTAATCTGTTATGAAGCCTTAACCTAGATTTTTGTTTGCAGTTATTGAGTCTGCTATGACTTTTACAGTTTTTTTTTTGATATCTGAGTGTTAATTAATCTTTGGCAGTAGCAATCATGGCTGATGAAAATAATGAGATGAAGGAAGTGAAGGAAGAGCAAGAAGTAAGTTTGTTTCTTTCATATCAAAAGTTAGTTTTTTTATTTTTTCGTTCTTTCTTTGGTATGAGGTTTTGATTTTCTTTGTATCATCCTTTAGCTCGCACCATTTGATCCAACCAAGAAGAAGAAGAAGAAGAAAGTTGTCATTCAAGATCCTATCGAGGACTCTACAGAGTCACAGCCCGAGAAATCTGATTCACTGCCTGGTATGTTGATTTTTTGAGTCTATGTGGTGCTTAGAAACTTCACTGGAATCTTATTTTTTTGTTCCCTGCAGCTAATGATGGCCTTGAGAGTTCATTTGCTGGACTGAAAAAAAAGAAAAAGAAGCCTGTGAGTTTTTTTTTTGACGATTTGTGTTTTCTTAGTTACTGGTGTTTTGATGAATCTCTGTCTCGTATTGTTTTTGTTTTGGTGGTTAGGTTGAAATTTCAAGTTCATTGAATGAAGAAAGTGTGGATGCTGCAGAAGATTTGGATGGTAATTTTTGTCTTTGCTTATTATTAACTGTTTCTAGTGGCAGAAATGTTTTTTGTTTCCTGTTTGAAGCTTACAGAGATTTTATTGTAGAGCATGCTAATGACGAGGAAGATGCAGAGGGAATAGATTTGCAGCAGCAGCAACGTTACCCCTGGGAGGGAAGTGATAGGGATTACATATATGACGAGGTGAGCATTTCGTTACATGTTTTTTTTTTCTTTTGCATTAAACCATAGTTGTTTGACGATGTTCTTCGGTTATGAAAATATATACTGCTTTAGAGGACTATTTCCTTAAGTCAGTGTCCCCTTTCAAAGATCTCTTCTGCTTGGTTTTCGTTCACGGGAGTTATATTTGCAGCTTCTTGGTAGAGTCTTTAACATTCTCCGTGAAAACAATCCGGAGCTTGCTGGAGATAGGCGTCGTACAGTTATGAGGCCTCCCCAAGTTCTTCGTGAGGGAACAAAGAAGACTGTGTTTGTCAACTTCATGGACCTTTGCAAGACGTATGAACTAATCTCTTTTATATTCCTCTTCAACCTTGTTCGATTAATTTATAAGTACTAAGTACCTAGTGATTTTGATGTCTGTATGGCATGTTCTTTGCCTGTGTTGAATTTCAGGATGCATCGTCAACCGGATCATGTAATGAATTTCTTGCTTGCTGAGTTGGGTACCAGTGGCTCCCTTGATGGGCAGCAAAGATTGGTTGTCAAGGGGAGATTTGCACCCAAGAATTTCGAAGGGATATTGCGGCGCTATGTCAGTATGTAAAACTTTCTCTTTACTCTTGTAAATCAAACAAGATCAATCTGGAGCTCGTAATGTGATTCGTTACTTGTGTTATTGGCAGCTGAGTACGTCATTTGCCTTGGTTGCAAGAGCCCGGACACAATTCTCTCAAAGGAGAATCGTCTCTTCTTTCTCAGATGCGAGAAGGTACATTTTATTTATTTAGTCCTTGACTTGCAATCTTCGTTTCTTCTTTTGCTTTCTGCGAAACTAAATAATCAATTCTCTTCTCGCCGAGATAAAAAACAAAAAGTTAAGGGAAGCTTATCCATGTCATTTTCTTCTCCTCCTTGTGTTTATCAGAAGCCAAACCCCATGCTTGTAATATTTTATTAGGGCACATCATTTACACCAAAATGGCATTTGGAGTAACAAATGCTCCAACTCCATTTCATTTTCCACTTCATAATGGAGTAATCATTTTATTTTTTGTTCATTACTCCATTTTTCATTCCAAAAAAGGTTGGAATCAATTAAACTGCACTATGGAATTGCTCTATTTTTGGAGCAAAAAATGGAGTGTTACATTGTAGATGCTCTTAGTGAATTGAAGAGTCATGTAATGTGTGATAGACTCATGAGGAGGCATTCTCTTAGTGAATTGTTTGTCTCTCACGTAATTGAAGAATCATGTAATGTGTGATTGGTGATGATGTTGATATAGTTGCCTACACTGCCTGATCAACTTAGCATATTTAGCTATGCTCAACTTCCTGTGTGTTCTATTTGCAATTCTGAAGGAGTATACTTGTTTTTGCAGTGTGGATCTGGACGATCTGTGGCGCAGATCAAAGCTGGTTTTGTTGCTCGTGTTGGTCGTAGGAAGACTTGAGAAATTTCTGGGTGAAGTGTGTGGACTTTTGTCTTTGGAAACCAAAGAGCTTGTGACGGAGTTAAGATACTGTTGTTTTTCGTTTGTTTTTTTGGAATGTGAGGCTATGATTCAACTTTGTTTGTCTCGTGTGGCTCGAAATGTCGAATGGAATCAGTAAAATCCCTGGGGTTTCAGCTAAGGATTTTAGGAGACTGAGTTTTGGGAGATTCTGTATTTTTATTAAAATACTTTGTTATTCAACTAAGGATTTAAAAAAATCTTATAAATCTTATAAAATCCAGGGTTATATTGAATATGAAATTTATGTATAAATCACTTGAAATCATTTAAAATCATCTGTTACTCAAATATTAATTTCTTATAAATCTATCAAATTGAACAAAAAATTTGAGGAGACTCTGATATTTTTATTAGAATCCTATGTTATTCAACTAAGAATTTAAAAAATCTTATACAATCCAGAATTATTGAATATAAAATTTATGTATAAATCATTTAAAATGTTCTGTTATTCTGTTTTTTGGTTAAATTATTTCTGTTATCAAACAATAATTTCTTAAAAACTTATCAAATCCACGGTTATTTAAACAATAATTTCTTAAAAATTTATCAAATTCACTGTTATTTTTATGTTTTTTGTCTGATTTTTTATCTGATAAGTTAGGCCTGGGCATTCGGGTACCCGTTTGGGTACGGGTCGATTCTTTCAGGTATCGGGTTTTTCGGGTTTTGAATTCAGGACCCATTCGGTTATTATAAATTTACGGGTCGGGTTCGAGTCAGGTCCTCCCGGGTCCGGGTGGGTTCGGGTCTGATGCAAAAAACCTTGAAAATAACCAAATAACAAAAGTATCTGAAACGGGTTCGGTTATTTGTACCCAAAATAACCATATTACCCGATATGATTCGGATATTTTGTATCCAAACTACCTATTTTACCTTGATATAACCAAAAATACTCGTTAGAGACAATTTTTTTTGGGTATTTTATATCAAAAATATAATATTTTATCTAAAAATATTCAAAATAACTAACAAATTTAATTTATAATTTTAATTTTAAATTATTAAAATAATTATAAGTATAATTATAAATAATTTTTCATATACATATTTACATTTTGGATCTTTCGGGTACTCATTCGGTTCTTGGTTCGGGTCGGGTTCGGTACCGGTTCTTCGGATATAACAATTTAGGACCCATTCGGTTATTTAGCCCGGGTCTGATCGGGTTCGGGACCCTGATTTTCGGGTCGGTTTCGGGTCGGTTCTTCGGGTCCGTATATTTTGTCCAGCCCTATGATTAGTTATGCTATTACAAACAAAGAAACATTACAAAATGATATTATAACCGATAATTTTACATGTCTTACAAATATTAATGACTACATTACTTACTCATCTCATGTTCTTTTTGACTTTGTCTTATTTTTTTGTACGGTAGAAATAACGCATTCTGGAATGTTTCTGTTTGATTCATTTCGAAATTAGACCGTCACGTAGGACTTCGAAATTGTTAGAAAATGAAAGCTAGAAATCTGTATATCAAGATCAGTCAGCATGAAAAAATATAAAAATAAAAATAAAATCAGTCAGCATGATGACATAAGGTCCCTGACGTAAAAATGTCGTCATCTTAATTGCTACACAGGAGAGAAAAACGGTTTTTTTTTCTAGTTTCAAACCGATGGCCAGAGATTTCTATAACTCCGACATCGGCTTGTTTAATTCGTTTTGTTTATTTCTTTGATTTGTTTTCTTTTTGGTTATTTGATTTTGTTGGCGCTTGGATACCACTTGTGCTGTTAGATACCCACTTGTTACGGAAGTTAAGCTCTGGACCTACTCATATGATTCACTAAAACTTGTTCATGACTCAAGATTTTTTCACCCAGTTCACGGCCGCAGCGCGCTACCTCTGGGGTGGATTCAGAGATCCACAACATCAACTATGAAGTATCGGAAAACACCTCCGATGTGGTTTACAAGATCATTACTCTCTCTGTCCTGGGTATGCAAACCCTAGAGAGTATACAAGAGATTACATGGCTAAGAGCTAAGACTAGAATACATATTTATATCTAACTTACTCTATCTCTCTTAGAGATGCCATGGAAGCACTCCTCTGAGGCTTGAGGCTTCAGCCTCCAAGAGGTTTAGCTTGTGCTTGGAGATCCCTGTCGTGATCTCTTCCTCCTTGTATTATCAACACTTAACCTAATGGGCTTTAATGAATAGCCCATAAATTGTCCGCGCGTAACTTTTCCAAAGCTGGCCCATGTTGAACACGTCTGATGGGCTTTGACCAAACCTCACAGATTTGTTTGTTTGCCAATTTGTTTTAAATCTGGCAAAGTTTTGGATTGTTCTTTTGTATGATTCTTCTAATGAATTTGGAAAAACAAAAACTTCGGTTCAGTTGAATCGTTTAGAAAAAGTAATTGACAGATTTATTGTAGATGGTGGTGACGGGTCTTACCGGCTTCAATCGTTGATGGTTCTTCATTTGATGGTGATGGAGTTCTTGCTGCAAATTATGGTTACTTCAAAAGTCAGGAGAAAATTCTATGAACGGTAATCTTTTTAACTCTGTTATTATCAGAACAATAGAAAGAGTTGTCTTCTCACATTGGCTCCTATTGGAGTAATGAAAAGAGAGTAGCAATTGTTCTCAATTAAGTCTGAAGCGTGGTGTTTCTGGATTAAGACGAAGATTATCTCTTTTGGGATTTAACTATTTTAGAAGCAAATTTGGAGCTTTTACATGAAAACTTTTAGTTATCCATATACAAAGATGTGTTAGTTTACTTTGGATCTCTAATGTTGTATCAGTTTTCTATGTTTGTTTTGCTAGTTTTCATTGTTAAGAACTCTTTGCCTAAATAATTTAATAATACAATTCATCGTTAAAAAAAAAATGTAACAATGATCATTGGTTAAAAAACACCAATGCGGTCCCCATTATTTTGGAGCCTAAAGCTACATTTTTTCGTTATCTTAAAATACTATATATTTATTAATAATAACAATTTCAATTAATTTCAAAAATTATGAATTTCTATATAGTTGTAAAGTTGTATTTCATCCTAAAAGTTTCATTATTTGAATAGAAATTGTTAATTCATATTTCTGTGCTTTTAAAATACCAATTTAAAAAATATTAATTTCAATAATTGTGTGTTTTCATCAAAAATGATATATTAGTTTCCAAAATTTGTTAAATATCCCAAAAATTATATTTGTGCAATTATTTGTTTTTAGAGTTTTGTATTAATTAGTGTATAGAGTTTTATCTTTCCGCGGTAAAAAGTAGATTTTAAAAATAACTATTTATAAATTGAAAAGATGTGATAATTCATATGGATCTCTGATCTAATTTAAAATATTTCAGGTGTTTTTATATAAATAAAAGTGTTGTTTAGCTGATGTGTATATTCAAAATATATTGCAAAAATATCATTAAAAATAATTACCTATACATTAAAAAGATTTGACTATTCATATAGATTTTTGATTTTTTTTTTTACTATAGTTAATGTGTCTTTCTATGGTAAAGTTGTTTTTAACTAATGTGTTTCTTCAAATTATATTCTAAAAGTGTCTTTTAAAAATAACTACCTATAAATTGAAAAGATGTGACTATTCATATTGATATTTTTAAAAATATTAAAAAATAATTAAGGTGTCTTTATATAATATAAAGATTTTTGAACTGATGTACCTATTCAAAATATATTGTAAAAGTATTATTTTAGTATAACTACCTAGAAATTGAAAAGAAAATAGCCCTTGCCATGTTTTTTTCAATGTAAAATTTTCACTAATTTAATAAAATGGTGGAGAAAAGAATTTGTGCAGTTATTTGATTACAAATTTTTAAAGATTTCCAAATGAAATATTATAAAAAATAGGGAAATTGCCTAAACTACCAATTTTTTAGTATCTTTTTCATCTTACTTAACTACATTTATCATTGATTACACGAAAGTAAATAATCTTAGGATTCACTAATATAAACTTAGAGTTTAGATTTGATAGATGAGATTTTGAAGGGTAAAATTTAGATTTTTAATAAATAAAACAAATAAAAACTTAATGTTAAAATAAAAAACTTCACTACGAAAAAACTAAACAATAAAATTATGTGTTAATTTTCTTTTACTAGATGAAAAGGTATGTTTTTCGTTCTTACAAATTTTTCATTTGTGATATGTACTTTTTATAAACACATGATTCATTTCCGATTTTTCATACACGACTTTCAATCATGTCAGTCTAGACGGTTAATATTGGTAACTTTGTGCATCGTTTGATAATTTAAACGAGTAGATGTTTTTCATTTGTTAAAGCTATCTACACCATATGCTACGTTTCTATATTTAGGGTGTCTCTTCCATTGTGTAGGACAATAATAGGAATCCCTATTAATACTAAAAGTTATGTCTTTTCATAAAATATAAATAAAATGTTTTAGTTTTAAGAATTGTGTTTTTAATTATAATAAGTTGTGTATTTTCATAAAATTGAACTATATTAGTTTTAAGAATTGTATATTTTCATTATAAAAAATTAATTAATTTTAATTAAAATATCTCAATAAGTGTTTTTCTACAATAGAAGTCCCAATTAATGTTAAAAGTTGCGCCTTTTCATAAGAAGCTAAAATATATTAATTTTAAGAGTTGTGTTTTTCATTATATAAAAGTTGTATATTTTCATATAAAAATTGAATTTTATTAATTTTAAGAGTTGTGTCTCTTCATTATAAAAATAAATTAGTTTAAAAAGTAGGTATAATATCCCAATAAGTATATTTCTATAATTATTAGTTTTAAGAGTTGTGTCTTCTCATTATAAAAGAAAAAATAATAATATGAATCTCAATTAATGTTCAAAGTTGTGTCTTTTTATAAAAAAAAAGTTATATGTATTTGTTATAAGAGTTGTTTTTTTTTCATTACAGAAAAATTGTGTATTTTCACAAAAAAATCGAGCTTTATTTTTTTTTTAAAAGTTGTATCTTATGATTATAAAATTAAATTGATTAAAATATTCCAAAAGTATCTTTTTACAATAATTAGTTTTGAGAATTGTGTTTTCTTATTATAAAAGACTGCATTTTCATTTTAAAACTTGCATTTTTAAAAAGAAACTGTCAAAATGTATAAATATATATTGATGTTAATAGTGTGTATTTTCATCTTAAGAGTTGCATTGGTTTAAAGAAGTTGGTTGTTAAAGTATTTAATGATGTGGCTTTTCATCTTAAAAATGCATTTGTTTGATAAAAGTTGTTAAAACAATATATATTTTCATCTAGAATACAATATTTTTAAGCAAGGGAAGATTGGGTGTCCATGGACCCATTCTTCATAGATAAAAATAAACTAATAGGTAGTTATGGAAAGTTCTTATTAGTATACTCAATATAATTTAACTCTAGACTCGCCTCTACTTTTAAGAAGGTGTGAAAATATATTATGTGTGATATTTCAGAACTTTTTTTCAACAATCCAAATTAAGAATTATGAACTGTAGATTAGTCAAAAAAAAGAGATATAAAGATTTTTAGTCATACAAGCAACTAATTATTTTCAGAAAGTTTGTGTGGTATGTTAAGAAGAATATGTTAACGGACAAAATTTCTTAAAATTATCATATAGTCATGTTTTTTTTTAAATTGAATGTTAAATTTAATTCAAAAGAAAAAGTCCTTTTACAACAAGAATTGCCAAAACCAAAAAAAAAAAATAACAAGCAATAGAATAAAAACCAAAACAAAACTCCCAACAAGCAATTATAGTCATGTGTTTTACCACACACGTCTTCAATAATTTCAAACAAACCAATGAATTATGAATTCAGAGCTATAGTTGTTTCACTTTGTCTATAGCTCAGACTGCATATAACAGAGTGAGGAACAAAATCATCTCGGGTACCAATTTGAATTTGAGTTTTATTGGCCATCCTCATTAACATACAAATTGTGAATCAATAAAATTTAAGGTTTCCTGTTACCAAAAAAAATTAGGTTTAAGTGCATCAAACATAATCAAAGAGAGAAAAAATAAACTTATTTTCTTCTTAAAGTTGTCTAAATTTATGATATAGGTTTTTCTTAATATGTGTAAGAGCTGGCTACAGCTCAATCTGTATATTATTTCATCAACAAAAACATGAAGACATATCAATAAGAAGCATAAAAATATTAATTAAAATTCAAATATTTAAAATATCATCACACGAGTAACTATAACATCAAGACAAAAAAAAGCATAAACTTATTAGTTAAAACTCAAACACATTTAAAAATATGAAGACCATATCATCCACTTAGACTAAAACATGATAACCACCCACTCTTGGATGAAAAAATCTTATCCACCTTCCTTCTTATCTTAGCTTCATCCATTCCTTCTCCACGTACGATAAGTATATCGTTTAATGATACGACATTACTAACTCCTAAAGAAAAAAAAATCATTAGGATGCATTGTTTGGTTCGAACATAACCAATAAATAATGTTAGTGTATCTTTACCTTGACAATTATTGATATAATCTAAAGCTTTGTTAATGGCTTTTCCATTGGTGGTTCGATGTCGGATTCTTATTTCTTCCTGTAAATAATGAATAACATAAAATTGTGAAAACTATTTATATAATCAATAAAGGATCTTGAAAGTGTAAAACTATATGCATATGATTCCTCAAAAAAAAACTAACCATTTTTTTGAAAATTTTAGAGTTGAGATTTGAAAAACAGATATTGGTTTCTGGTTGTGGTTAATGAAGAAACTATATGTATATGTCTATTTATATGGATGTAAATTGATTGTTACCTAAAAAACAATATTAATAAAAAAAGAAATTTACTTCTTAGTTTAAACCATAAAACAGAAATAGTTCATAATTATTATCAGAAATCACATATTTGAGAAATATTTCATAACTATATAAATGTAATCTTTATATTTATACAAAAATAATATAGGAATTATTCTACTATTTTCAAAAAAAAAAATCAATAAAAAAAATTATGGAAATTTGCACTATCTAACAATGAAAAGAAAAATAATTAGGTAAACTTCTCTTGTTCATTTTTCAATTTTTATAATTCCAGCAATAACCGAACTTCAACTCGCACATGGTGTTAGACAGAGGCCTTGACTTTGTGGGATGCAATGAAATAATTTGAATTAATATAATTTTTTTGGGTAAAAAATTTGAATTAAATCTTTCGTGTTACATACGTAATTAAAATGCAAAAAAGGGCCGGAACACACGTTAACTCATCTTCTACACACCGAAACTCGGTCCTCTCTCAACATCTTTTTCTCTCCCAAATAAACTGGCAAAAGAAATGTATCAACCAAACGAAGTTACAGTATACCACTATTCCCAAAACTCTCCGTCTTCGTAAATGAAGCAATCTCAATGGCGCATGCAAGAATCTCTCTCCCAGGTCTGCTCCTCTACTTCCGATACTATGTCTCTCTGTACTTCCTCGCCAGTGGCTACCTAGCACTTGATTTCTCCAACATAACCTGTTACTCTCTCTCTCTTCTCGGGCTTAACGAATCAATCTGCTCTCCAGCCTTGGGCGCAAAACGCTATAACCTCCTCTTCACATCTCTCCCTGTTTCACTTCTCTGGATTAAGACCACGAAGATTCTTGAAATGTTGAAACAGGACGAGGAGATCTCGCGGCTGAAACTCACATATTTCTGCTTTACTATGTTCCAGATCTTTCTTACACCCACAGAGATATTTCTGCCTTACCCATAATGTTTCTCCTCGTGACATATCTCGGGTTTGGTATAAAAGGTATCGCCTTGAGTGGTGTCTTGTCCAATTTCAGCCTTGTCGTCGCTCTCGTCATCTACATCGCTTTCTTGGAAGAGAAGCAAAGTAGCGACGAGGAGGTTTTAGAGGAGTCGTATGAAGATAGTGTTAAAAAGTGTTTTTTAAGGAATCATTAAAGTGAAACAGATGGTCTCTGTCAAATGACCTTTTTTTCTCTAATTGGATAGATATCATGAAATGATTATTAATGTAAAATTTGTAGGATAAGGTATCATTCCAGAGATTGGTCGTTGCAATATTATGATCAGTAAAAACTCCACAACTTGAAGCAAGTTTTGTTATGGTGATCAAACTAATACATGAAGTTATTTTTTTCTGTAACAAATATTCGGTTTGTCTAACAAACCTGTAAAGACATATTATCATACAGCACACAGCAGCGCAGAAGATACATTTATCATAAACGTTTCACTTAGTAGGAATGATGATATATATTCGTTAAGCTTATTACAGCCTTGAAGGTTAATCTTCTGCTAAGCAGTCGGATACTCCTCCTTAATAGAAGCATTGTCACTTGGGACATCTGCCTTCTTGTCTGAAGTAGGGTAAGGTTTCATGAATATAAGACAGTACCTTTTATGTCAACACATCGACATCTCCTGTATTTTCCCTTTCATGAACCTTAACCCAAGAATGGGAATCAGCCTCGAGTTATTAAGTACCAAGAGACCATTGGGAGGAGAACCATGAAACAATTAGGACTAATAAGATAGGTTTATTGCTGGAATTATGAAAATTGAAAAATGAACAAGAACATTGCTGTTTACCTAATTACTTTTCTTGTCATAGTTAGATAGTGCAAATTTCCATAATTTTTTTTTGATTGATTTTTTTTTTTTGCAAATAGTAGAATAATTCCTATATTATTTTTGTATAACTATAAATATTAAATTTATATAGTTATGAAATATTTCTCAAATATGTATGATTTCTAATAATAATTATGAACTATTTCTGTTTTATGGTTTAAGCTTGGAAGTAAATTTCTCTTTTTATTAATATTCTTTTTAGGTAACAATCAATTTACATCCATATAAATAGACATATACATATAGTTTCTTCATTAACTACAGCCAGAAACCAATATCCGTTTTTCAAATCTCAACTCTAAAGTTTTCAAAAAAAAATGGTTAGTTGCTTTTTGAAGAATCATATGCATATATTTTTACACTTTCAAAATACTTTATTGATTATATCTATATAGTTTTTTCACAATTTTATGTTATTCATTATTTGCAGGAAGAAATAATAATCCGACATCAAGCCACTAGTGGAAAAGCCATAAACAAAGCTTTAAACTATATCAATAATTGTCAAGGTAAAGATACACTAACATTACCTATTTGTTATGTTCCAGCCAAACAATGCATCCTAATGAATTTCTTCTTCTTTCTTTAGGAGTTAGTAATGCCATATCATTAGAAAACGGCATACTTATCGTACGTGGAGAAGGAATGGATGAAGCTAAAATCAGAAGGAAGGTGGATAAGATTTTTTCATCCAAGGCTGGGTGGTTGTCATGTTTTAGTCTAAGTGGATGATCTAAATGTATTTGAGCTTTAACTAATAAGTTTATGGTTTTTTTTTTGTCTTGATGTTATAGTTTACTTGTGTGATGATTTTTTAAAATATTTGAATTTCAATTAATACTATAATGCTTCTTATTGATATGTCTTCATGTTCTATGTAATATATCTCATTTTAATTGATGATCTATCTTACTAAAATAGTAACATTAGGTTGGACCTATTTAACATTAGATTGGTGTTTGTGGGCAGAGGCATAGTCTCATAAGCTGTCGAGAACGTTACCTCCTTCCTCTCTTTTAAAACACACTTCATCCCTTCTCCTTCCTCCTAGCTCTCTCTCTCTCTCTCTCACACACATCTTCACAAAAGCTTAACTATTCTTCTAAACAGATATGGAGACTTGGGAGAAGCCAAGAGTTTCATCTTCTAGAGATCATCATTAATCACCGTCAACCTTCCTTCTCCTCCACTCTCCTCGACCAAATCTACCGCTCCATAGACGACTCTCCTCCCCTAGATCTAGAATCCACTAGAAAAAAGAAACAACCACACTCTCTCCACCAGGAACATGCTCCAATCTTTCACCGCCGCTGACTTCTAGAGATCACGGCGAACCAACACCTCCTCCTCCTCAGATATTCCAACTCAACCTCCTCTGACTCAAGCCGTTTCTCCTCCTCAGAGTCAGACTCTTTTTTCCTACGCTCAAAACCCTCTTCCTCTCCTCCTCCACACACACGTCAACCTAACCCTATTCGAAGCTCAGCCATCGAGAAACCTAGCAGCAAACAAGAGCACGGTGGTTTCTTGAGAACAAAGTCAAAGGCGTTAAAGATCTACACCGACTTGACAAAAAGTGAAACATTAACCTCTCTCCCCTGGAAGACGTCTCGCTACTTTCCTTCTTCACCAACGCAGCAAGCAACCATAAAAAGCTAAAGAAAATCAACACCACCGTCTCTTCCTCCGCCGAGCAGCAGCCACCACCACAATCCTCCTCCAACACCACATGCTCCTCCACGAATTTATAAATGTCACAAAGTACAAGTCGCTCGACTGTAGCGACCAATCCTTACAAGATACAATTGAATACTCATAAACGTAAGCAAAACTAACATATCATGTGGGAGTTGACAGTAGAAATCAATGCTACGTCAGCTAAACAAGCATGCATGGCTATAAATATGCATATAAGGTTTTCAAAAAATTCCGAGATGCTCTTCTTCTTAGTACCAAATGTGTAAAGAGATACTAATAATTATATTACGATAGACTACTCAGAAACTATAAGAAACTAGTTTACTAATAAAAATTTGATGTATCAAGTATACAAATGCATGATTAAAGCCTTATCGTCTTAATCTTATTTAAAAATATATTATTATGAATATTATAAATTTAGAATGAAGGACCATTATTTTAGGTAACTCCTTCAATCCTAGTCCAAACTAGGATCTTGTCGCCACAATCTAGGAAACTTTAGATAGAGCTCGATAGGCAAAGCAATTTAGACCCTCCTTGTACCAGACGAACTGTTGATAAGCCACCATGCTCTCCACTTTGATTACTTGACAATTTTAGTAGATTCAGTAGATGAAATGTATTCGGTCGAGGCATGTGTGTACAGCCTTGTCCTTGTTTGGTTGATATCTCGTAACATGATCTGCTTAGACATGTTTTTGAAAATTTGTTTCTTCTGTAGGCGCCTATAATTCATGTTTATCTTACTTTAGAGCACTCTCTTTAGCTTCTTAACTGCTATTTGCTAAGTTGGTTTATAGTGGATTGTATGAGCAGAACTCGAAGTATTTGCTAAGTTGTTTTTTTTTATTAATGTAATTGTTTTGCTCTTAACTAGATTATATTGTCTTGCTTTTTTCTTTATTTTTTTCGTTGTTGATAGAGATGGTTAATAAATACTGGTAAGAGTTAAAATGCTGGTTAGGTTGTATATTTATGTTTCTTGTTCTGTTTTCATTTGATTTTAGATGTCTTCTTGTTGTTCTATTTTAATTGTTTAAGCTCTGTTATAGTTCTTGTTGTGCTTGTTATTCTTTTATATAAAATGTTGTTGTTGTGGCATGCTCTTGTTCTTGTTGTGCTTGTCGTTCTGTTATATAAAAATGTGTGGCTTGGAATTGTTCTTGTTGTGCTTGTTGTTCTGTTATATAAAATGTTGTTGTTGTGGTATATTCTTTTTTGTGTCGTGCAAATGTTGTTGTTGTTGTTCATTTAAAACGTGTGGCTTGTACTTCTTTTCTAAGCAGGTAACATGAGGTGACGAGGCACGGACTTGGGTGTGAGAAGACGAGTCACGGACTGCAAAAGTGGAAGGATCACGGATTGTGAGAAGACGAGTCACGGAGTGGAGATGATTGTGTAATGTGTGGCTTCTGTATTGTCTTTTGTTTTTTTAAGAATCTGTAGTTAAGAAAGTATCATCAGATTTTTTTTCATTTAAGACTGGGTGGTTATCATGTTTTAGTCTAAGTGGATGATATGGTCTTCATATTTCTAAATGTATTTGAGTTTTAACTAATAAGATAATGATTCTTTTTTTGTCTTATGTTATAGTTTACTCGTGTGATGACTTTTTAAATATTTGAATTTCAATTAATACTATTATGCGTCTTATTGATATGGCTTCATGTTCTATGTAAGTCTTTCGACTTTATTGGAAAAACGAAAATCAACCGATTTACTGCTCTATAGATATATCTCATTTTATAAATTTTGAAATTAAATACATCTTTTTACTATATAGTTAAACATACATTAAATTATTAATATTCATTTATTTATACTACTATCCATGTTTTCAAACAATATATTTATTTCTTCATATGACTATCTATGTTTCCAAACAATATACTCATTTATTTATATTATTATTTATGTTTCTAAACAACACTATCATTAATCTTATGTCCATACAATACGAAATATTAGATCTCACTTTTTAATATTTTTTCACAATATTCTTTCAAATTATTTAGAGAAATTAAAAAAAAAATCAAATAATATATAAAACAATGAAAATAAACTTATTTTTACATGTTTAGATATTACATATCAGTTATTCACCGGTTTAAACGGTTAGCTCGGGTTCTAGTGATTATTTTAAATATGGATATTTTTAAAAATCAAAATTAAATTATCGCATCACTGATTTAACCGGTTTAACCACGGTCCGGGTTGAATTTAAACATATTGATTGAAATGAAAAATATTTTAAACACATAAATTCTTTTAAATTACAAGTTCAGCCACCATGAATTATCAACAGACGATCAGTTTATGCTGAGGAAGAACGGAAAGGCGTAGAGAATGATGGCTGTGGAGGTGGATACACACACGTATGTGTAGATAGGTAGTAGAGTGCTACCTATCTCCATTGTATTTGCCTTCACATCTCTTATTCTTTGTTCATCATTCACACATGGACGGTTAACAACTTTTTGGAGCCCTTGGGCAAAAAAATTTTTGGAAATTTTTGATATATTTTATTTTTCAAAAAAAATATTCTTTTTAAAAAAATAAGGACAAAATCTTAAAAAATATATGAAGTTTTTAATAATAAATTTAGTTACAAAAGTATATAAAAGAAAAAAAGTAGTTAATATATCAATTTTAAATATATATATATATATATATATATATACACATAACTCTTTTATGCTTGACAATTTTTTTATTTTTAAAAAAGCCTTTTAAAACAAAAAAAAGGCTCCCAAATATGTAACCCAGGGCGGTTGCACACATTGACCCCCTATCTAAGCCGCCCCCTGCATTCACAATGCTAATGGTATTTTACAGACTCAGATTTGCTTTGAATGAAAAGCTTATTATAACAATAATAATACAGACTTCATTAGTATTACACACAAATTGTATCTGACAGAGACAACAAGTAGAATAAAACAACATCAAGAGTTATTGGTTAAGAAAATGTAAAATGATAAAGCATGTCTGCCCACACCAGACCTGCAAACAAATATTCGGTTTGTCTAACAAACGTGTACAGACATATTATCATACAACACACAGCAGCACAGAAGATACATTTATCATAAACGTTTCACTTAGTAGGAATGATGATATATTCGTTAAGCTTATTACAGCCTTGAAGGTTAATCTTCTGCTAAGCAGTCGGATACTCCTCCTTAATAGAAGCATTGTCACTTGGGACATCTGCCTTCTTGACGTCTGAAGCAGGGTAAGGGTTCTTGCTGACCAATCTGCAACAAAATAGTGCGAACGTTGCTGTAAGGGATAATCAATCTGTCCGTTTCAAATGAGATTATAAAAGCTGCATGTATACCTATCCCGTCTCTTCTCAAGGAATCGTTGAAGCGAATGCCTCCTTGCAATTGGTAGATCTGAGATTTGAGGAAACTTTAATGAGAATATCTATTTTTTAAGGCTTAAAATGATTATCGTAACCGTTCCAAAACTTACCAGCAGCAGATCTGCAAAATGAAATAGGGTGAATAGGAAATGACTGCGCAGCTGGAGAAGCTGCATTTGAGGTGCTTGAGAGGGAAGGAGCTCTGTTCAGTGCTGGAGATGCCACAGGACTGGTGTTCGTAGAGTTCTTTGCCTCAACGGACTTAGCAGCAATACGGATGATTTCTTGAATCTGTTGGAAAAAATGGTTATTAGTGAATGAGTCTGAACTTTACAGACAAAACATGAATCCAAAGTGAACCAACCTTTTCCGCTGGAAGCCCATCAAAGACGCGAACTTTCCCACCAAAGAAGATAGTAAGTTGATTAGGACGGATCGTTGAAACATTTGGCTCGGAGGAAGGAGCTTCCATGGACCTATTTAACAGAAGCACCACAGTAAAGAGATCAACTTCTCTCCACATACAGTTAAAGAAGGCCTCTAGACATCGTATATAAAGCCACTACATGGTTATAATGAATGCCTTCAAGAAAGTTGACTTTCCCTAAATAGCAACTTCTATCCCCCTATGTTTCTATATATAGACATCCTGCACTCAATTTTCCACAGACTAAACTCAAATCAACAGCAATCCTAAACACAAACTCATACCTAGATTCATGAATTGGCTTCTCAGCTGAATATCCACCTTCTCCGGCGACAGATCCGGCGCAGATCTCATCCTTCTCGTCGTGACCACATCCACCTTCGACGGGAGCTCGTGGCTCATCTTCCACCTTAACCATGGTCATTCTCTCAGAACTCGTCGATCTCTCTTCTCCAGTTTCTTCGTCTTAAAGTCGTGTTCTGTCCGGAACCTCCAAGATTATTATCCTCCTCAGAAACTTCTATTATTTGGACACGTGTCTATATTTTTGTTTGACTTCGACGTTTTGTCGGGAAACTAAAAGATATTGTAATTCACAACGTGCGCGAATATGATACGCTGTCGTTTTGGTCGTTTGCTATATGTGGTTGGTAAAGTATGTACATGCATGCATTCATTGATTAACGGTTAAAGGCAAACCAAAACCTGTCTAATCTAACTAACGTGGGCCTTCTTTCTCCAAGCCTACATTGATTATTGACCCATTGGGCTTATTCTTATATTATTAACAGTTGATCCTAATAAAACGACATTCTAGAGTGTAGTTTTGTCTCTGAGCTTATTCTTCTAGGGTTCCAAAGATCTATACATTTCTACTCAACACTAGAGACTTCCTCTTCTTCATTCCAACGACTCATCATCTATTGATCCCGGAGATCTTCGATACTGAGAAGCCCTCCGTCTTCTCCCGATCTCACCAATGCCGGTATGATCTCTTTCATTTACTTTTGCTTTTCTCACACGCGGCTGGTTAAACTAACATTAGCTATTGGGTTTATAGATCGATAAGATCTTCAAAGATGATGCTAATGAAGAGAAAGGAGAACGTGCGAGGATGGTGAGCTTCTTTTATCGATGATTTAGGGTTTTTTTTTCAGATTCAATTTAATCTGATTTGCTTTTGTTTTGGCTCTTTTAGGCATCGTTTATTGGAGCGATGGCTGTTGCTGATCTTGTTAAGTCTACCTTAGGGCCTAAGGGAATGGTAACTTTTCGATGCTTATAAATTCTGTAAATTTCAGTGTTTTGAATTGTTGCTGAATAGTATTATTATTATTGATTAGGATAAAATCTTGCAATCTACTGGTAGAGGTCACTCGGTTACTGTAACCAATGATGGTGCGACTATTCTTAAGTCACTACACATTGACAACCCCGCTGCTAAAGTTCTTGTTGGTATGTATAGCCTGCAACATCTCCTCGCTTGAAGCTTTTTGAATTTGATTTTTTTTTTTAACTCATTTCTTGTATGTGATTTATTGTTCTTAAGACATTTCGAAAGTGCAAGATGATGAGGTTGGTGATGGGACTACTTCTGTTGTTGTTTTGGCTGGGGAGCTTCTTAGGGAAGCTGAAAAGCTTGTTACTTCTAAGATCCACCCTATGACGATTATAGCAGGTTAGCTTCTTAACCGCTTTAAGTGTGAAGATGAGCTTCGTTTCCATTATGACAATGATGTCTGATTGTTTTTTTCTTTTTTCTGGATTTTTTAGGTTACAGAATGGCTGCGGAATGTGCTCGTGATGCTTTACTGAAAAGAGTTATTGATAACAAGGAGAATGCAGGTAATTTATTATAGTGTTGGCATTCTCTTGTTTGGGTGATTTCTTCGATGTTGGGTTAAGGAGTGTTTTAACTTTGGAAATCACACTGTTATTTACAGTATTGTGTTTGTGTCAATGCAGAGAAGTTTAGGTCAGACTTGTTGAAAATTGCAATGACTACGCTATGCTCCAAAATTCTCTCGCAAGACAAGGAACACTTTGCAGAAATGGCTGTGGATGCTGTTTTCAGGCTAAAGGTTCCATCTCTGCCTCTATATGAAACTATATGAGCAATGTGTTCCTTCCTACTCTTTCTCCGGAATTAAATGTCTTATTTCATAAAGAACTATTGATTTCTTTCAAAAATTTATGAGAATGGACCTGTCATATAACTATTGATTTCTTTCCCGAAGATGGATATTTTCGTTTTGGAGGGTTATATGATTTGCTTATAACATTTTGGTGTTGTCCTTCAAATAGGGAAGCACAAACTTGGAAGCTATTCAAATCATCAAGAAACCTGGAGGGTCCTTGAGGGATTCCTTTTTAGATGAAGGGTAAGAAACCACTTGTGCCTTTTTGGCCCCTGTTCAAAATCAGTTTCTTGGTGCTATTGGTCTCTGTGTAGTGTTCATTTGTGCATGATAATCTTGTCGTGGTTCTGTTTCCTTTCGTTTTCAGAGCTTGTCCACCTTATTTTTAATTGTAGCCTTGTTTTGAAGTATAATTGATACGCATTATGTCTACTTATTATGTTACGTAATTTTGGTTCTGACACTTTTAGTTAAATCTATTCTTACAGATTTATTCTTGACAAGAAGATCGGAATCGGGCAGCCAAAGCGCATAGAAAATGCAAAGATCTTGGTAGCAAATACTGCAATGGATACTGATAAAGTGAAAATATACGGTGCACGTGTCCGTGTTGATTCCATGACCAAGGTTGCTGAGATTGAAGGGGCTGAGAAGGAAAAGATGAAAGACAAGGTGAACAAGATCCTAGCCCACGGTATCAACTGTTTTGTTAACAGGCAGTTGATCTACAATTTCCCCGAGGAGCTCTTTGCAGACGCTGGTGTACTTGCTATTGAGCATGCTGATTTTGAAGGAATAGAGCGTCTTGGTTTGGTTACAGGCGGTGAAATCGCTTCCACCTTTGACAACCCAGAGTCTGTTAAGCTTGGGCATTGCAAGCTCATCGAAGAGATTATGATTGGTGAAGACAAGTTGATCCATTTCTCTGGTGTTGAGATGGGCCAGGCGTGTTCAATTGTCCTAAGGGGTGCTAGGTATCATTTTTTTCACATGTACTTAAAAACACTTCATGTAGACTTATCCTGTTTCTAATTTTGTGTGGTTACTTTGTTGTTGCAGTCACCATGTTCTAGACGAGGCTGAAAGATCACTCCACGATGCCTTGTGTGTACTCTCCCAGACAGTGAATGACAGCAGAGTGTTGCTCGGTGGTGGATGGCCAGAGATGGTGATGGCAAAGGAAGTAGATGAGCTTGCAAGGAAAACTGCTGGCAAAAAATCGCATGCTATTGAAGCTTTCTCACGGGCTCTAGTTGCTATCCCCACAACAATCGCTGACAATGCTGGGTTAGACAGTGCAGAATTGGTGGCTCAGCTTCGTGCAGAGCACCACAACGAAGGGTGTAATGCCGGTATCGATGTCATCTCCGGAGCTGTAAGTAAACTCTATATGCGAAAAAAAGGATTTGGTATATAAGATCAGAACTGAATTATGATGATGAAAACATTACAGGTAGGAGATATGAAGGAGAGAGGAATCTATGAAGCATTCAAAGTGAAACAAGCCGTACTGCTTTCAGCGACAGAAGCAGCTGAGATGATACTGCGAGTGGATGAGATCATTACATGTGCTCCTAGGAGGAGAGAAGACAGGATGTGAGATCCAACACATGGACATGGTGGGAGAGAGATTCATGTTACACGATCACACCCTCCCCAGTGACATTGTTCAGTTCAGTTCATTAGTTTGTGTTTTGTATTTGGTTCAGAAAACAGCCTTTAAATGTTTTAGTGTTTTGCTCCCTAGACTTTTCTTTCTTTTTGGGTCTTCTTGAATATTGTTTTGAATTTTTGACTATGACTATAAGCTTCAAGGAGTTTGAACTTCTCGACCACCATGGCCACCTGCTTCCGAGATAATCTGAATATCTATCTGTTAAATGCAGATTATTATTCAAATTTGTAGATGATTACATGTTCTCGTAGGAGTGGGTACAGTATGTGAAACTGTGTTAGATGAGATCAGTCAAATTATCAGATTCCATACTCTTTAAGAAGAAGAAGTAAAAGTACAAATTGTAGAAAAGAAGGAAACAAGTTTTAAAAGCTGTATGGATACAACAACATCAAAAGCTGTATGCATGATCATATCTGACTATTTGTAAAAATTAAGGTCATCCTATGTAGATTTTTATATTTATATATAATAAGATATCAGTCATCACCTAGACCTACAACGTTGTGGTGGTTTGGTCAACCGACCAAAACACGTTATAAAGGAGAGCAGATCATAACATGGGACCTCGTAATCGCTAACTTTATTCATACCGACATATTTTGTAAATTGTCTTACCAGAAAATTATATGGCTTTATAGATAACTTGAATCGCGAAGATTCATGATTTTATAGCTTTACATTTCTATTACCAAAAAGGAGGAGTGCACCAAAGCAACCGAAAATGCATAATACTCCCGCATGAAGTTATAGGTTAATATGAAACAGAGGGATTAATATTTAATAATGATCCCGCGTGAAGTCATAGGTTTAAATTATGATGTTGATGAATCAAAACCATACCTTTTTTTTCAAAACAATACTTGTGCTTATAACTTCGTTTATATTTGGGCTGGCACTGAAAAATAAGATGTTACATACGTTATCCTTTCAAGTATCCGTTGGAATATATAAATGTTAACATGAATGTATCAAAAAAATCTTGCATTTTTAAACATAAAAACCTTTCACAACATTATTTATTATGAAAGGAATGAGATCCGTGGATATATGTATGGGCTGTAATTTAGATCCAGAATAAAAGCAATACTGATGCCATTGATCTATTATCTATCTATTGATGATATTTTAAGTAATCGATAAATTCACTAGAAAAGTGTTGCCTAAGCGTAAGTATTAAATATAATTAAGATCTTAGCCGGTCAATAATCACGTAGGTTTTGTCCCTGCCTATAAGTCAGAAGCCATAAATGACGCCATATTCTACCAATTTACCAATTATCAATAATATATTTCAGCATTTAAAGGCAAATATCAGATAAAATTACAGTACTTATCTCTCTTTATTGATCATCAAATGGTCATCTTCCATTTAAAATCAAGATGAACAAAATGTAAAATAGTGTTTCTCTTTTTGGTAGCTTTGGTAAAGTAGAATTAAAAAAGAACCCGACTTAGTTGAGACCAGATGAGTATGACACGAACGGCACATATGGTTCGCTCACGTCATTTACTTAATTCCTTATCAGTCTTTAACTTTTACGAAATTGCAAAATTTTCACACGTCATTTGTTGTTTCTTTTCGTCATAGTCTTTTCCTTTTTAAAAAAGTTTGCAGTTTTGTCCCTCTACTCCGTCACTCGTTACGCACAAGACCTAACTTTCAGGAATTAACACTTATAATTCTAAAAGACCCATTATTCGACACGAATCTGTTTCTAATTATTTATTTGAAAATTTTAAACTGATTCTTGTGAAACCAATCAATTAAAGAAATCATCAACGATAATCTTATATTATTTCCGCGTTACATAACTAAACATATCTTACACTAAAGTGAATATTCCTAATCTTAAAAAATACTAAAGTCTAAACCGAAAGTTTGAAGTGTACATCATCACATTTCAAAACCTGACACCTATTTTGTAATTAAAAAAACCTCCAATAGCAAGTTGCATTAAATAAATATAATAACCTAAAAATAAACATGAAAATTGAAATAATAAAAAATAAAAGCAATAAAAAATAGAAAAAGACAGACACCACACCACTAAGACAAAAAGCAAAGCAAACTACTTTAATTCTTGTCTATTAAAAACGCATCTGATTCTTCATTCTTCCTTCCGCTTCTCTCTCCACTCTCTCTCAAATCCTAAGCAAACCACAACAAACAATGAGTTTCTTCATCGAAGATTCTGGTCTCATCGTCACTCAACTTCTCTACCAAATGGCTGTCTTAATCACCCTCTTGAGATGGATCTTTACTTGGATCTTACGTTACCGATCCAGATCTACCTCCTCCTCCTCCTCTTCTTCTTCTTCCTCTACTCCTCCGATCTCCTCACAGACCATCAAGGAGAGCCTCGCCGTGACGACGTTCCGTGACGCCGCGTTTCGATCTCCGGAGCTGATAAGCGACACTTGCGCGGTGTGTCTTGGAGATCTTGAAGACGGAGATGAGGTTAGAGAGCTTAGAAACTGTAGCCACGTGTTTCACCGTGAGTGTATCGACAGGTGGCTGGATTATGAGTGCTGTGGAGGAGATGATAACGACGGGGAGGAAGATAACCACCGTACGTGTCCTCTTTGTAGAACTCCGCTTCTTGCTGCTAATACGACGTCGTGTGGTGATTGGCCGGTTAAGAACGAACCTAGCTGGGCCGTTGAGCGGCTTCTCTACCTCTTTGGAGATGATCTTCTCGTCTGACTTTTTTTTTGTATATTTTATTTTACTTTTTCGATATTTATTTGATTTTTAGTGGAGATTGAAATTAGTTGTTCAAGTTTTGTAAATTGGGAATTTAAAGGGTAGAATAGCAAAATATAATAATATATCAGTTTAAATTTAATGTTACGAAAATTGAAGATCTAATTTTAATTTGATTTGGTACATAAATGTTCATCCAGAACTATATGTTAATATTTTTGGTGGAAAGATGTCTAGTGTCAAACTTAGGTCTCATGTTTGATTTAAATTAACTGGACTTATTCAACAGAGCTGTTGCAACTAACAAATACACTAACTAAAAGTTATAACCGAGTGATAACTTGGATTATGCGACAATATAGTTTTTTTTTATTTGTTCAAAAAAAGAAGTCACACCCATGGATTATATGCAACAATAAATTTTTTTTTTTGCTGGCCTTAATCTTGCCAAACTTGATTCGAATTCAAAAAGAAACATGAATGATCCAAACCCAAAACCTAACTCTCTCTCTTTCTCTATGTGGGTTGGATCATTCATGTTTCTTTTTGAATTCGAATCAAGTTTGGCAAGATTAAGGCCAGCAAAAAAAAAAAAAATTATTGTTGCATATAATCCATGTATGTTAAGTATTAAAACAGTGAATGATTTAAAATATAAATATTAGTTAACAAATTGGGTCCATAGCTCAGTGGTAGAGCAATTGACTGCAGATCAATAGGTCACCGGTTCGAACCCGGTTGGGCCCTTAATTTTTAATTCAATATTAGAGTATTCATAAAAGGATGCATTTCTCCACTGGTAGAGCAAGTGACTTCATGTCAAGTAGTTCACTGGCTGAACGCGCTGAGCCCTCTTTTAAAAATGTTTTAGTCCTATAGTTTGATCAAAAATTTTGCTTTGTAGAAAAAACAACTCTTTTCTGGTCAAAGAAAAACAACTTTTATGTTAATCTTTTCAGTTGGGGAAATTATCATTTTTATTTAGAGAATACTAACATGTCAAAACAATGAGAATTTTGTTTGGTCTATTAATTTGTTACTGAAAATTAATTAAAATAAATAATGAGAAATGGGATGAGCTAATCTCATTCTTTTTAAATATTTCAGGTCAAAAAATCACTTATCACATAAAACTCTAACTTTTAGACCAAAGAATCCTAGATCTATTATTTGATTACAATAAAACCATACCAGCTCGATTTTATTTTTACGTTTTGATTTATTAATTTAAAAATTAATTATGGTTATGAGAAATTTATGTTAAAATGCCAATCCTAACTACCTTCAGTATTTTTCCCTTTTTTGTCTTTTTTTTTATTTTGGTTATTGCACGATATAAATATTGATTTTTGAGTTTATTCTCATTTCTTTCTTTTGTTTTTGGCTTAGGTTTAAATTTATTTTATATTTATTACTCCTTTTATGTTTTCTGTATATTATGAAATAATAAAATAATAATTATATATTAAATAATTAAAAAAACAGCTACTATTATGTAATAAATTGGCGTGCGCGTATAAATCAAACGACATCTCTCATTTATTCGCAATTATTTTAAGCTAAATAAATGAAAAAATTAATCTTATTTATCCTATATGATATATTATTAAATTTAAATGATATTAACATAGATATATAGTATACGTTTAAATGCATATTTATTAAATGAGGTTTCTATTCATATGATTTTGTGACTATTTGCATATTTATGTAACAAAATTTTACACCAACGATTTTTTTTTAAAATGTGAAATATTTAGTGTTTCAATAATTTATAATCATTTCAAAAATAATGAAGATTTCAAAATTAAAATATTAAACTTCCAATATATGTTCAATGTAAATATTAAATATAAGTATGTATTTTCATATGAGGTAAATAAAATTATTTATTCATTGTATCTTATTATAGAAACAAATTTAAACCTTGATCACAATAGTTTATGTGAGATTTTTAACAGTTTAATAAGTTATACTCGTTTTGAAAAAAAAATAAAAATATGTCATATAGAAAAAAATCTATTTCTGTTATATGATTTATGTAATTGTGTAATTCATTTTAATAATAATGTTATGACTTTCTAAATATTTATTTTTAAATATATAAATTATTATAAAGTACAACAACAATAATGTAAAAAAAAAACAACAATAATGTACGTCAGGAAACCGATTGTGCATATACAGAAACCAACAGTTCCCACAGAATAGAAGGTCGGTTCACATCTATACTATTAAAGGTGAAGTACAAAAATAAAGTGTTTGGAAACATGAATAAGAAAATTTTAAAAGTTTGATTGGAAACATGGATATACAAATTTAATGGGCATTTATTATACTAAAGATTACTGCGGTCCAAGGTACCATTATTATTGTTTTTGGATTTTCTATCATTTATATTACTTTACTTCTAAAAATTATTTGTACATATATGTATTCATGTTTTAAATGTATTTAGAATAAATCAAGAGTAATATATATTTTATTTATATAATTTATATTGACTATTCTTATAAGTTTTTAACAGTGATATACTAACCTTTCAATTCTTCATTAAAAATTAAATTAAAAATTTGACTAAATTATTTAGTGTATATAACTTTACACCAAATTTAGTCAAAAACTTTTTAAAATATTACTAAAATATTTACGGGTCACAATATTTTAAGACGCCCATGTTACACAATACAATAATGAAATACAATATTTAAATAATATACTATTACTTAGTAAAATTGGCACCATTAAATTGTAATTTTGAAATGTTATATATACCATGAAAACAAAGACCCGCCCAGTCGGGCGGCTTATAATCTAGTTGAGATTTACACTCGTCGTCAAAAATGCACATGCTTTAAAAATCACATTTTAGACGCTCGCCTTTTCCTTCTATCTTGACTACTATGAATTACCACAAAAGAAAAACGATAATAATCATGAGTTTACATTTTCTCCAATAAAACATTGAATTTTTTTACTAACTTGTACGTGAGTGATTAATATTGTTCTTAAATTATAATAAAACCCGTGTAGCAAAAATCTCATATAAAACACAAACTTATAAATAACTTAGCATGAGGGTAAATAAATGAATAAATATTGACTTCTCGATTGGGAAGTAAATAGCAGAGAACATGCGACAGAGCCATCGTTTGAATGAATGTTTGATTATCAAACTTTATTTTGTTTAGTCTCAGACTCTCAGTATTCTAGAGAAAGGGGAAAATGCATATATAATTTTCTTGTAACAAAGGGAATATTCAATATTTTTAGTAAATGATTCTCTGCCAATCATTAAAATCACTAAACTTAGGGCATGACTGGTTTTCTCGCTATCACCCGCAAACGCAACTTTTATGGTTGATAGCGGTTGTTGGCATTTTACAACAATTCCTCAAACCATTCTAAACCGCTTTAAGCTGTTCTAAACCTCTTAAATTCAAAAGCTACTTCCAATTAGCGTTTGCGAATGCGGGCGGTTGCGGGATGGTGATTATTTTTTTAAAAAATATATAAATACAAAAATAAAAATATTCAATAATTTTTAAAAATTGAAATTATAAAAATACTAAAATATATCTATTATATTTTAAGTAAGCTTATTAAAAAATATATTTTCGATAAGTTTAAAAATTTAAAACTATAACTTTATAAGTATAATTTCTATATTTATTATAATATTATGATTTTTGGTATTTTTATAATTATACAAAATGTAAATATTGTTAATTTATTCTTTAATCGCTATTGCATTTGGTAGTTAACCAGTCATAAATATCTCGCAAACGCATCAATTTGTAATCACAGTACCAGTCGTACAAATCTTTTAAAACCACAAAAAACCACAACCATCCGCATCTGAAAACTCTCGCAACCGCTGCGTTTAAACTAGTCAGACCCTTTGGGCTTAACTGGTTCTCCCGCCATCACCCGCAAACACAACTTTTACGGTTGGTAGCCGTTATTGGCGTTTTGTAACAATCACAAAAACGCTATAAACTGTTTCAAATCGCCTAAATCTCTAAAATTCTAATGCTGATTTCAGCTAGCGTTTGCGGTTGCGGGCGCTTGCAGGAGGATAAAAATTATTTTTTTTCCAGAAAACTATATAAATATAAAATAACATATTCAATTAAAATTTTAGATTAAAATAAGTGAAATACCAAAATATTTAGACTATAAAATTTTCAAAAAAAAAATTTCTTTAATTTTAAAAAAATTTAATAGTACAGTTTTATCAATAGAATTTTATATTTTACTATCAAAATATTCTTTCAATATTTTGATAATTATATAAAATATACATATTGTTAATTTATTATTTAACCGTTGTTGTATTTGGTAATAAATCAGTCATAAGTATCCTGCAAACGCAACAATTTTTAACTGTTGAATCAGTCGTCTAAATCTCTTACTAACGCTTAAAACCACAATCTACCGCATCCGCAAACACCTATAACCGCAACCACAATCGTTTCATTGTAACCAGTCAGGCCTTTAATGTATTGAGTTTTGCTAACAAGATTTTCTTCTGTATCAAATAATTGGTCAAATTATAACGAAAAACACAAATGAATATCTACTCATGAAAACCCTATAGTCAAACTCTAAGACATCTTGGCTTTTCGAATTCAAATTGTTTTTTTTTGGTCTAGTTAGATATTGTACCAAAAATAACTTGATTTCTAACTTCAAGTTCTCAAATGTTATTTTATTTCAGATTTTCGGTTGCCGCCAAATGGAATATATTTACATCTTAGAAATTGTTGGATAATTTAATATTATAGGCCGTGATATTCTTTTGGCAATTTAATTGTTTGTTTTTAAAGCTTTACTGGTACAAGAGATGATAAATCAGTAGTAGCATATTGTAGAAGTAATATACTGAAGAAGCTGTATGTTTTTATTAATTTTTTTAAGAACAATAGCAATATACAATTTTAAATTATCCTAATAGTTAGTATAATAATATATTTTAAAAATTAATACTTAAATATTTATTTTATATATTAAAAGTATATTTGTTATTCAATAATGAATCTTATTCAATATATAAATTATATTATAATTTATATGTTAAATATTATTATTTAAAAATGTATAATTTATTTAAAATATTAATTAATTTTGGATAAAAGTATATTTTAATATTTTTAAATAAGTTAATTAATTATAGAAATTTTATATATAATTAATATTATTTATTAATTGGTAAAGCAATCAATGATTCACAAAAAATATCATAAAAATTAATATATCTAATATAGTTTCTTTATTCGTGTTTAAATAATATATTTATATCTAAAATATATAAATATATATTATGTTATGTTTCTTATTAAAAATAATGAAGGTTATATGTAATTATATAAATTATATTATATTTTAAATGTGAAATATTGTTCTTTTAAAAAATTTCAAATATTCAATTATAATTTTTTATTCTTATTTTTTAAAACATTCTGTTTTATTATAATTTTTTTTTATATTATTAAACATAAATAAATTAATTTGATATAATTTTTTTTAAGTTTATATATTCTATATGCAAATGCTCTCCTAAAAACTCTATATAAGAACATTAAGAAAAAAACATTTAGAGAATAGTAACAATTGATAAATGTTTTTTAACAAATATTGATTGGATAATAGAGATAATAATGTTTATTATCGATAATGTTCTCTACCAATCAAGCCATAAACCCTAAGTAACAGATTAAATCATGGGTCAAGTAAGAAGGGGCTTAAATACACATGGGCTTGTCGCGAGTAAGGCCCAATAAGGATAACTGGACCACAACGTAACCGAAACTTGTTTGAGAAGCCTTTACCTCCTCTTCGTCTTTGTTAAATGTTAGTGCCGTGGCGCCTCTTTCAATTATTTTCAGTGCAGTCTCGCCATTTCCCTCTACTCAGCAAAATCTCAATTTGCTTTTCTCGCTTTCACTGGAATCGAGCGTAATGACGACAATGGAGCAGCGTAGAAACCAGAATGCTGTTCAGCAGCAAGACGATGAAGAGATCCAGCACGGCCCTTTCCCCGTCGAACAGCTTCAGGTACAGTTTAGTGGAAATTCACCTTCTCGATGCATAAGCTTCGTCGAATCTTGCGCTAATTGAAATGGGTTCGAGTTAATTTCACTAAAGATCTCTCCTTTTTTTTTTGTTCTACACTTTGTTCGTTCTGAGCGAGAATTGGGATTCGCTATAGCTTTGTAGAGTGAAAAATACATTTAGGGTTTTTGTTGGATTCAGTTAAAGTTGACACCTTTGGAGTTTTTATGCTCTTGTGGTGATAGTCGTTTGGTTATATACTGTTTTGATCTCATTGATTCTTCAATGTTCAGGCGGCAGGTATAGCTTCTGTTGATGTAAAGAAGCTTAGGGATGCTGGTCTCTGCACTGTTGAAGGTGTTGCATATACTCCAAGGAAGGATCTCTTGCAGATTAAAGGAATTAGTGATGCCAAGGTTGACAAAATCGTTGAAGCAGGTATGTCACATTGAAAGATCCTTCTTTGTTATATGAATACAGAGATTATGCATTTTCTTATTTGTGTGTTCTCTCTGTGACAGCTTCGAAGCTCGTTCCTTTGGGTTTCACTAGTGCTACCCAGCTCCATGCTCAGAGACAGGAGATCATTCAGATTACCTCTGGTTCACGGGAGCTTGACAAAGTTCTTGAAGGTTGGTTCTATTTTTTTTGGTGAATTTTGAAAAGGACATTTTGCTTTTATGATCTTACTTAGCCTGGACTCTCTATAGGAGGAATTGAAACCGGATCCATCACTGAGTTATATGGTGAGTTTCGCTCAGGAAAGACTCAGTTGTGTCATACACTATGTGTAACTTGTCAAGTAAGAACCCTTTTCCTCAGCTTGTCTAGTAGGAATCAGTGACCTTGAACCTCTTATTAGATTATTGCAAAATTGAGAAAGATATTCACATTTAGGTTCTGGTTTTAAAATGATTAGCTTCCCATGGATCAAGGAGGTGGAGAAGGAAAGGCAATGTACATTGATGCCGAGGGAACATTCAGGCCACAAAGACTTTTGCAGATAGCTGACAGGTATGCTGTCCTTGTAACACACGTGAGAGCAAGATGGGGTTCTTGAGACAGAACAATCGGTCAAGAAATCAGTTTAACATGATGCAGGTTTGGACTAAATGGAGCTGATGTACTGGAAAACGTTGCCTATGCGAGGGCGTACAATACTGATCATCAGTCAAGGCTTTTGCTTGAAGCAGCGTCAATGATGGTTGAAACAAGGTGCGCTGAGTTACTTTTTTTGCGTTCAGCTTCATTGTGTTCAGGATGAAAATGCTAACGTTGAATGTTATGATTGTAACAGATTTGCTCTCATGATTGTGGATAGTGCCACGGCTCTCTACAGGACAGATTTCTCCGGAAGGGGAGAGCTTTCGGCCAGACAAATGCATCTTGCAAAGTTCTTGAGAAGTCTGCAGAAATTAGCAGATGAGGTGAGACCATTCAGTAGCATTAAGTGTTTTTCTTTCCAAAGTTCCTCTGAGACAGCATCCTGAAACTTTTTCTCACGTGTTTATATGGCTCTAGTTTGGTGTGGCTGTGGTTATAACGAACCAAGTAGTTGCACAAGTAGATGGTTCTGCTCTTTTCGCTGGTCCACAGTTTAAGCCGATTGGTGGGAATATCATGGCTCATGCAACCACAACAAGGTCTGTAATTTCGAATCCTTGTTTTCTTTTTCTTGGGGGTTCATTGCCAAAAGTGTGAGTTGGTTATGATGAGGAAATCATATATATATATATATATATAACAGGCTGGCATTGAGGAAAGGAAGAGGAGAGGAGAGAATATGCAAAGTGATAAGCTCGCCATGCTTGCCAGAAGCAGAAGCTAGATTTCAAGTAACTACAGAAGGTGTAACAGATTGCAAGGATTGATTTTGGTTTTGACTTGCTTCTCTCTCTGCCTTTGTGTGCAAACCTCTTCACTTGTAGCAAGGTCAAGAAACTCCTTTTCTCTTTTCTATTTTGTTTCTCGTCACTGTGGATCATGAATTAGATTGCGTAAGCATAAAAGTAGTGACGAGGGAAGCAAAAAAGAAAAGCTTTTGTAAGTAGGGTTTCTGGGTAATGAAAGTTGGTACCTTGTGCACACACACTGTAAAAAAAGCAATAACTTGCGGTAATATGGTTTGACTGCAAATAAGTTCACGATCTTGTATCTTGATTTGGCTCAGCTTACACGCTAACCCCAAAGAACAATAAAAAAGATTAGCAAACCTTGTAGTGAGTCAGATATGGGTGAGAATAAATAAGTATGTGTTGGCGTCAGCAACATCAGACGATACTCTTAACATAGTTTCTGAGTTTACCTTTTCAATAATCTTTTGCTAAAATGAATTGACTCTTAACTCGTGAATCATGAAAAATTGACTTTAGTATAACACCTCGAAGCGAAGGTGCAGCTATTCCATTAGAGTCCAGACAGCTGTAACATTATAGAGAGAGAGAGAGAGCACTGTCACGGGACGGGACTATTTAATTTATTATTATTCATTTTTTTTTACAAATCCCAAAAAAGAAAGAAATAAAAATAGAAATTGTGGTGGTTTTCGTCGTTTCCTTCTTCCCGATCCAATCTTCTTCCTTCCTTTGTCTCCAGACCGAAACAAAGAAAACAGCTGAAACATCTCATCCATCTTCATCATCTTCCCCCTCCTCATTTTCTCTCTCTCTACATCATAAAACCTCTTCTCTCTCTCTCTCCATCTTCTTCTTCTTCTTTTCTTCCCCCATAATTCTGCGAATCTTAGCCTCGTTGCTTTTATCTTAGGGGAGTTGTGATCTCCCTGATCGGTGTCTGTTCAGCTGTTTACAAAAAAAAAAAAAAACTCGCATCTATTCGAATCGAGAGCAGCAGCAGCAGAAGAATCTTCGTTGTGTTTTTTTTTTTTCTATTTCTGAACATGCTCGATTGTGTTTTGTAATACCAACGGTGCAAAAGATTCGTGTTTTGTATGCAAAAACAAAATTAAAGCTTTGGTTTTCAAGAGCACCTATTTGAGCTTTGCGTGTGAATTCGGCATACACACACAGACAAGTTTGTGTTCTGTTTTTTTTTTTTGTGGAAAATTTGTGTATGCTCCGGCCAGAGTACCACCGACTTGGGCTTGGATCTGTAACTCCAAAAGCCCCATGAGCTCCTCATCGCCATCAATGGAGAACGGATCATCATCTTCCCTTCATGCCTGTATGCAAGAATTCAAACTCTTTGAGACTCAATCGGTAACATACAACTTCCCTCCCTGCACATTTGAATTGGTAGGATGTTTTTGTATTACTGCCTTTGTAGCTAACATGACGATTTCTTTTTTTCTTTTCTTTTCAGAATTTCTATATGATTGGTTGGAACGGTAATGGAGTGTATAAAGTACTAAAGATAGACCGTCTTGATGCCTCTGAGCTTAATGTCAGTGAGGATTCCACTTCTTATACCAAAAACCAATGCTACGAGTTGCTTAAACGTATTCACGAAGGAAACAAGGCTACTGGCGGTTTGAAACTTGTCACTCTCTGTTATGGCATCATTGGTATGTGCTTTTTTTGTGTCAAGTTATGTTCACTTTTGCAGCGTGTTCTCACAATTTTTTTTTTTTGTTTGGGTTCTCCACGTTTATGTGGTCTCAGGGTTCATTAAGTTTTTGGGACCATACTACATGCTGGTTATAACTGAGAGAAGAGAGATTGGTGAAATCTGTGGTCACAAGGTTTATGAAGTGTCAAAGAGTGAGATCATTTCTTTGCGAAATTCTAGCGTGCTTTGCAACATTGCAAATTCTAGAGACGAGAACAGGTGTTTTGATCTATCTTTTACAATATTGTGCCCATTTTTTGTTTGTTCCAGGCTTATTATTCAAGAAACTTCTGGTTTTATTTTTTCTGTGGTGAAAATATAGAATATATGTGTGTATTTGTTGAACTGAAGTCATTTAATCTCTGCATTCTTTATTTGGTGTTTTCCACTTGTTGATAAACAGGTACAAGAGGCTCCTGTGTATGGTGGACCTTACAAAGGACTTCTTTTTCAGCTATTCGTTCAATATAATGCGTAGTTTCCAGAAGAATATATGCGACCATGAGAGTGGTTGTTCTCTCTATAAGAAAATGTTTGTGTGGAACGAGTTCTTGACTCGGGGCATCAGACATCATCTTCGGAATACCGTGTGGACTGTAGCATTGGTGTATGGTTTCTTTAAGCAGGTAAGAACCGTATATTCTCTGCCCCTCAGTGCCAAAGAGAAGAAAGTTTTTAATAGCTATGTATCTATTTTGATGTTCTTGGCTTAGCTATTTCAGATGCAACTAGCATCCTTATTCTCAAATACATTTGATAGATTCATAGGTGCTGAACCTTGATTTGTTGTGCATGTAGACAACTCTTTCTGAAGCTGGACGGAATTTTAAACTCACTCTTATTGCTAGGCGCTCCCGCCACAATGCTGGAACCAGGTATCAGATTTCACTTCTCCCTGTAGCAGTAACATGAAATCATTAAGCACATAAGAATACATGCGCAATCATTGTTCAATATTTGCCTATCTTCTGGTTCTTTTGAATAATGAGATTTTAAGTATACATCTTTACTTGATGTAGTAATTATGCTTCTTTTCTCCTAACCCCCTTCTGATTTTAGGTACTTGAAACGAGGAATAAACGAAAGTGGCAATGTTGCTAATGATGTCGAAACAGAGCAGATAGTGTCTGAGGACGTTCCTGAAGACCATCCGATGCAAATAAGTTCTGTTGTGCAGCATCGTGGCTCAATTCCTCTATTCTGGTCACAGGAGACCTCGCGGATGAATATTAAGCCGGATATAGTATGTAAGTGTTTTACTGCCTGGTCTCTTCTCTCTCTTTCCTTCCTGTCTCTGAATATCTCAATGTCAAATCCAGTGTCAAAAAGGGACTTGAACTATGAGGCAACTAGACTTCACTTTGAAAACCTTGTAGAGCGATATGGAATCCCCATCATTATTCTGAACTTGATCAAGGTGAGCTGCCTAATCTTTCATGACAATCATTTTCATTGCCATTTTGATACTCTCACACCACAAAGCTTTCACTGATTTTTCCTGTTTCTTTTGACAATCAATAGACAAAAGAGAGGAGACCCAGGGAGTCAGTTCTCCGGGCAGAGTTTGCTAATGCAATTGACTTTATAAACAAAGACCTGCCTGAAGAAAATCGTCTAAGATTCCTCCACTGGGACCTGCACAAACATTTTCAGAGGTGTCCATTTAATTTGCGTTCCAGCTGCCTCAAATAATGATTATTTTGTAAATATGTTTTAAGATAAAAACCAGTCTTCTCTTTTCTCTGTCTTTATTTCAGCAAAACTGCAAATGTCTTGGCACTTCTTGGAAAAGTAGCTACCTGTGCTTTGATGCTAACAGGCTTCTTTTATTATCAAGTTACCCCATCAATGAAGCTCGATGGTTATCTGAGTCTGTCTTCTTCTGAGTAAGTTTTTTGCTTTAGCTCTTGTAACTTGTTCATCATATAACTTCTCCAATTTATATTTCGCGGTGGGTTGTTAAGATGAACCTTGCCAGTAGTTCATGGAATCGTTTTTCTAGTATAGTAGTCCTTTCCTAGTTATCTTCCTGAATATGTGGATAACTTGTTAATTGTCATCTACTATCCGTAATTTGTGTTACTCTTTGAAAATGGGTGATAGCATTCGTCTATATTTTAGTGGAGAATGATGTATTTTATTAGGATAGTTATGTTCGTGCAGCTGTATATTTGACTCTTACAGTGTTACTGTATATTTGACTCTTACAGTGTTACTGTATATTTGACTGATGTATTAACAATGCAGTGCGGACATATCTCCACATAACAGTTCTGATGATGATAGTGGGGAAGAGAAGAGTTTTCGCCCAACTAAGAATGCTGCTAGTGGCGATTATGATAGCAACGCTGGTAGGCTCCAGAGGGGCGTGCTGAGGACCAATTGTATAGATTGTCTTGATCGCACAAATGTAGCACAGTATGCATATGGTTGGGCTGCGTTAGGGCAACAACTTCATGCTTTGGGAATTAGAGATGCTCCTACGATAGAACTTGATGATCATCTGTCAAGTTCATTAATGGGGTTATATGAGAGAATGGGAGACACACTAGCTTATCAATATGGTGGATCTGCAGCTCACAATAAGGCAAGTCTATAATTTTCCCAGAGCTTTGGATTAATTTTGTGAATTGTCTTGGAACTACCTTTTATGTAGTCTTCTGTTAGAAATAGTTAGATGATACTAATCACACAAAGTAAATTCCATTTAGTCTCAGTTGGGAATGATTCATGGTTTGCTTGCTGAGATCAAATATGTTCCACGTTACAGTTTTATATGTTCCCAATTAAATAGTAGGCCCTGCCTTTCCTTAAAACAAATCTAAGCTCATGAAAATCTAAAATGTCATTTGTACATCCTGGTTTTTCGGTCCATGCATGCTAATCAGTCAGCCTTTATATTGTGCGTATCAGCAGCTGACATTGGTCTTGCAGCCGACATTATTATTATATTATATGTAGCCGACGCAAATTACCAATATGTGCACTATTGTATGGAGCCACACTGCTAATTCTTATAATTTGTGGTATACAATAGGTTTTCAGTGAGAGGAGAGGCCAGTGGAAAGCAGCAACCCAGTCACAAGAGTTGTTGAGGACTCTGCAACGATATTATAATAACGCATATATGGATGCGGATAAACAAGATGCTATTAATATGTGAGCTGCTCTCTGTCAGTCTCTCATATATACATTTTACGCCATGATCTCCCAGAGTCTAACAGAAAGTATTTGGCAGATTTCTTGGTACTTTCCAGCCTGAACAAGGGAAGCAGGCGGTTTGGGAGTTGCGTTCAGATTCCCAATCTAATGGGAGAAATGGAGAGATAAGCATGGGGGAAGATGAAAGGTAGGTTTCTGTGACTGCAATCATGTAGGTTTACATATATAAAACTTGATGTTCGTCCATGATTAAGTTTTGTAGATTTCATTCTTCTGACATGCTTTGATGATTGTAGGAAGTATACGAGTTATAATTTCTTAGACCTACTTGCAATGCGTTTTGTAAACTAATTTTAAAACAAATAGGCTCCACATCATTCGAAATTATTCCTCTCATTAATGTCATTCTCCACCATAACTTCGAGTTTTCATTTATTTGAAACTGTTGTGATCCTAATAATATGGAATGATCGTATGATTTGAATTGTCCACTTCATCGAACTTTACCTCGATTTGTACTCTCTATTTGTTTATAAATTTGCTCTGTTTTTTGTAGATGGCTTTTCCATCTTGATTATAGACTTAAATTAATCACAGCTCTTGATACTATGTTTCCAGGTTTTTTGTGAAGAGGTGCCTATCAGATGGAAATTTTCTCCATGAAAGTCGCACACCTATGTCCGAAATGAGTAGCAAGCATGAAAGCATATTAGGTAAAAGCTTGCCATCACGCCAAGTGACTCATATAATTTCAGAGTCATCACCAGATATGCCAGCTGCTGATGTAACGTTATCAAGGTTTGTTTATATCTTTTGTACATTTTCTTCTGGATTAAAATAAGGGTTGAATTGATATGCACAATAGAGCTCCACACATCAAAAATTAGAATGCATACGTATACATGGGATGAGGTCTTGTCGCTGTCTTCATGTAGTAAAAGAGTGGTAGCACATAGTAAGTTAGTAACACTTGCTCTCTTGTTAGTCTGAATCATCAGCTGTAACATCTTTGTAGGTGTACTCCGTCAATGCCTAGCACACATTTTTTTGGAGATGCGCAGAAGGTTCAACATAGTGGTAGTAACTCCAATTACTTGTCCGAGCAGGAAGACATGTTAAGTGTCTCAAATTTTGTTGATCTGGAGTGGCTTTCGTCATCGGAAAATCTATGCGAGAACGATCCATTGTACAGGTAAAACTACTCTGCATATTTCGTTAGATAGAAGCTTATAATTTTCTATATCTATAGCATCATACTGGTCACTTTTCTGAAAATCCAGCCGATTATGTTCCGCCACATTTTTTTATCAAAAGATTCCGAATATCCATCTATGTAGAGTTTCACTATTGATGACCAAAATAACATTTATAGCCTATTTCTTGTTAGTGATGAGCAACTTTGAATTCACATTTCTCGTTTGGTAGGCCATCAACGCTTGCAAGCTGTTCAACCGCGGAAATGTCATCATCAGAGAATATCATCAGTGAAGTAAAACAGTCAACGCCAGCTCTGAGCGAGCGTGGATCAAGCAGCAGGAAGGTTAGTATCTTCCATATTCTGCTTTGCATATATCTCCGTAGCTAGTTTGAGTTCTAGCTCGTATTTTTTTCTTATATGGAACTTTTTTCTGAAACTTGGACTTGCTAAAATTTGAACCACCAAACTTAGTCTTGAACGAGCTCAGAGTGGACGCAGATGCTATAATAGGATTTAACAAGCAGGTGAGGTGGGAAACTCGCTTTGTGGAAAAATATATTAGTGGCTTATAGCAAAACTGTATTAGCTAATAACATAATTTGTCTGGTAAAGTTATCCCAGTGGGGTGATTTCATGTTGTATCATACATACCACACGGCTCTCAGATTATTCGATTGTTTTGAGAGGCAATATTGTCACTTGGTTACTTGCACATGAAACTTAAACGGAGTTTATTTCCTTTGGCAGGGAAAGGAACCTATGGGAACCGAACCGTCTGTACACCCAAATATTCGCGAAGATTTATCGGATGGCTTCAAACAATGGGTTGCATATGGAGAGGCACTCTGCCATTGAAGCTCTTTCCACTTTCCATTTCCAACAAGAACGTACGTTGCCTTCACTATACTTATGGTCTTTCATCAACATTTGGGTATTACGGTGCAAACATGGAGTAGGGACTGGTAGAGAGATTCACTGTACCACATATTTGTAACTTGACGGTGGTGACCAAACGGTCAAAAGAGGAGCAAATTAAAAAAAAAAAACAGCTGAGAAGCTTCAGTTTGCAGAGTAGTGAAATTTTCAATCTTTGTGGAGAGATAAACTTGTGATAATCTGAGACTTTTGTTAGAGTAATTTATTCTTGTGGTTTGAAGGTGTGTTGTAAATATCTGTATTATAAAATCTAGCTTCTAGCTGTTTTTTTTTCATTGGTAAAAGTTCCATTCTTCATCGCCTGCTGAGCCATTCAATTTTATTGGTATTAGAGTTATATCTTCAGACAATAAGATGATTTTTCATATTGGTAAAAAGATATTTCAGGGCTTTGTCCTTCTGGTTTGAGCTAAATTACAAAACTGTAATATTTTCCAGGGAACCACACAATCTTCACATTGCCCAACTCCACCTAGTGCAGAGTAGACCAGACCAGATTATTCTCCTTTTGAATATATATATTTTTTTTTTTTGTAAACCCTTTTGAATATTGTTTGATGTGAGTGATGTCTCATAAAATTTATTAGTTTTCTTTACTTTCATTTTCCTCAAGACACAAACACATTCATTTCATGTCTATTCTAGACGTGTCCATTGCTATTTATAACTACAAGTCTACAAACACCAACAGTTTTTGCAAATTTTGTATGTGAGTGACCCACATCTCATATTAAGCCTCCTAACTAAATGTGCTACGAATATTCTCACAGGTTCTACAAAAAGCTAGAAAAGTAATCTATCGTAAAACTCATAATCTATCATGTGGATATGTCCGACGAAATATAAAATGTCCTAGATGTTATTATATGCGTATTTAACGTCTTTTGATGAATACAAAAATACGACCCTTTTTAAGTAAGGTGCGACGTGTGATAGATATCAATAATATACCATATGGTTTGTTCAAGAAAATGATGGATGATCCAATATAGCAAAACTTTTACTACAGTATATGGTGTTGCTTGCTTCAACCTGTATCAAATTATCGAAGAAGATAGAATTTCAATTCCAAAAAATTAGGCAAACCTAATGGACATCATGGAATGTTTGACAACTACCTAAATAACCAAAAAGAAACTTCATAAGTTAGAAAGAAAACACTATTTTACCGTTCATATTTTACGTTACTTTTTTCTAATAAATGGAAATCATGTAATGTTTGACAACTACCTAAAGTAACTTTATGCTAGAGAATGGTGTTTCTGTTCATATTTTACGTTAACTTATTTATTTTCTTAGAATTACGATCATATTTTGAGTAACACTGAAATGCTACAACTATAAGACTCTAATCTTACTTACAAAGATAAATGGTAGTTTTGATCAATCGTTTTTCAAGTATCAATATAGTTTTAGCAAAAAAAAAAGTATCAATATAGCAATGAACTATCCGTTCAAAAAGAAAATAAAAATAGCAATGAACTATAAATCCAATTATTTTGTTTTTCTTTCAAATAACTCACTACAGAAAAAAAAGAAAAAATCAATATTATACCTTGTGGATATCATGCTTGTGTTTGTCCATTGTTTAGATAGCGCTTGGCTTTCTTTTAATCAGAAGGCAAAAATAAATTCTGTGCAGTAAATCTAAAGATTTATGCATTTTCACAGGCCCACACACACAACAAAACGTGATGATTGTACTTTATTTTTCGTGTTAGGTGGGAAATTCTGTTGCTAATTGGTAATCAGGCAAAATACAAAAGAGCTAACCTAGTGGAGATGTCATTATGATTCATTAGAATTATTTACAAGGATCTCGCTGATATAGTTTATACATCAGTTTCAAGAAAATTGTTATCTAGACTATGAACTTGGGAAATGCTGATAATTTTTGGAAATGTTGGTTACATAACTTTGCCGGAGATGTTAACGCAAAGAGTTCTGAAATCCACATGCATCGTTATTGCTGTTTTATGTTTTGATAAAAACACATGCGTCGTTGTTTTGCCGCGTTACGTACGAATTCACCTCACCTTCCACATTTTAGAGAAACAAGAAAGCGAAAGAATGCACAAGGCAAACATCGAAAACTGAAGGGATAATATGTCTTAAAAGATCAAAAAGAAAAAAAAAAAATCTACACCAGGCTACTTCCTCTTAATTATTTCTTTGCACAACCATTACATTATTTTTTCATGACCCATTTGGTTACAGTGAAAACATTTTTTTTTAGAAAACGACCTCAAAACCGCTGCACCTTTAAGTCAAAAACCACCCCACAGAAGCAAATAACAATGGACTGGTATGCGTTAGTGGATTAACTTATTAAGTACAGTATTACTTTTTAGGTTTTACGTACGATTTAATTAATTTTGCATAATATTCAATTCCTGATGCGAACAAATTATTTCACAAACTTTTAGTATTTTATTATAGAAAGTCGGTGGAAAGGCGACATCGCAATCAAAGTTGGCCTTATCCAAAATCCCTCTTCTGTTTGGCTCATAGATTCACTAATACTTTCACTACGCGTGTTACTCTTCGTTTTCTCGACGGTTGGTGGTCGTAGATACATAGAGATAGAGTCTTGGACATTCGGTTCTCGCTTCGATTCAAATTCGATTTTTCGGTTCTAAATGTTTAAAACCTGTTTAGATATTTAGAAAATTTAGTTCGGTTTTGATTTGTTTCTTTCGATTCTCTATTCAGATTATAAAGTTGGAAACCATTTATATCTGAAGTAATTTCAGATCCATCTGATTCTGGCGTTAATTAATTTTAACTAGGTGTTTTGCCCGCACTTGCGGGTATAATTCTTTTACGAATATTTATTAGTTGATGTTTTATTAATTTAAAAATTAACATCATAAGTTATTATTGATGTTTTGAAAAAGTAAAAATCTAACATCAAATAATTATTAATGACAAAATTCAAACATCAGAAATATTGAAAATAATATATTTCTATACCTATTTTTCTTGATTTATATTTAATTATAATATTTATATCTTAATTTAAAATTGTATATTAGAAAAACATATTTTCAAGACAACAATATAATGCATAAGTTATTTAGTTTCTGAAAATATAATATGATAATTTTTTAACTATATAATAATTATATAATATTATAGAAATTATGACATATAATTAAAATTACCTTGGATCATGGAGACAAATCAACATATTCACTTTTTAAATAATTGTTTTGATTTTTTATATTTGATTACCATTTATATTTAATTATAATATTTATATCTTAATTTAAAATTTTATATTAGAAAAACATATTTTCAAGATAACAATATAATGCATAAGTTATTTATTTTCTGAGAATATAATATGATAATTTTTTAACTATATAATAGTTATACAAGATTATAGAAACTATGACATATAATTAAAATTACCTAAGATCATGCAGACAAATCAACAAATTCACTTTTCAAATAATTGTTTTAATGATTTATATTTAATTACATTTATATTTAATTATTAATAATATAATTTTATATCTTAATTTTAAGTTTAGTAATAGGAAAGTATATTTTCAACATAAGAACATAATCCATAATGATTATCTTATTTTATAAAAATATTAAATTATTAATATAAATTCATTTTCGTTATATCTTAGTATTAAATTATTAATATAAATTCATTTTAGATAAATATAATAGTGTTTATATCTTAATTTAAAATTTAAGTGTTATATATAAAAATATATTTCAAGATAACAACATAATTCACAAGAATTATCTTATTTACTAAAAATATGATACATTCATATAATTTCGTTTTATTTATAAATAAAATATATATAAATATTAAAAATATGATAAATATAAAAAAATTACCTAAAATTATGGATAACATGACAACTAAGCAAATTTACTTCTTAATTAATAGTATAGATGTCAAACGATTAAGGATTCAGATTAAATATCAAAGTTTTTTTCAAATTTTAGATAAAACTAGTGTAATTCAATTTTGGATATTTTAATAGTAAGTTTTTAAAATTATTAAATTATTTTAAAACTAAATATAATTAATGTTTATAATATTTAAATTTTATTATAGAAATTCAGGTACCAATTTGATTCTTAGTTAAGTTCATTTTAGTTTCGATTTTGAGGTTTTAGAGATTTAAGATCCACTGATATAATTGATAGGATCTAAACTTAAACTGAATCTTATTGTTCGGTTCTTCGATTCCAAGTAAATGTGTCTAGAGCTAGGCATAAAATTCATAACCCAAAATTCGAACCGAATCCGAACCAAAAAATTCGATATGTATCCGATCCGAAATGTAAAAAAACCTCGAATGGGTCTTGTAAGGTGGTACAAAACACATCCGAACCCGAATAGTTATTATCTGAACCCGAACGGGTAACCCGAAAACTCAAAATCCTAAAAATTTGAAAAAAAATATCCGCATAAACCAATTCGAATATCCAAATTAATATACAATATAAATATAGAAAACATAAATATATACTTCAAATATTCAGTTTCCTATTTATTTTAATTGGATATATAACAATAAGTATTTAAAAATTAAATAAGTACCTTAAATACTCAATTACATATGAATAAGTATATATTTTTCATGTTTTGCCTTTAAATTTTGGATTTTACTTCGGTATCTCCGAACCGATCTGATATAACCCAAATCCGAATGATATATGATTACTTTATGGGTTATAGGATGTGATACAAAACCGACACAAAACAGATGTGTTATATCCGAACCCGATCCGTACTTACAAATTTACTAAAATGGGACCTAGGAGATGTTATAAAATTGAACCGAAATCTGAAAAATCCGATCCGAACGTCAACGGTTATCCGAACGCTCATGCCTAAATGTGTCAATGCAAGACAGCACATCTTTTATATAAATGCTTCAGTCAAA